TGTGACCCCGCGCTGCCCGCCGCATTGCCACTTTGTGCCTGGTCAGGTTCCCACCAAGCCCCATGGTGAGAGTCAGGACGGGATGTATGAGTTCATCCAGGCTGCGGGTCTGCACCCAGACGGGGCTGTTTCCGGAAGGCCTGGTCCCCACCTCCTTCCATCGCAAGAATGGACTTTCTGTTGTAGCTGCTCGTGGACCCGTCAGTCCCAAGCACGGTGTGAGTGCGCGTGCGTGCGCCTGTGTGCGGAAACGAGAGCCACGCGGCTTTGTGGGCCTTCGAGAAGGGGTTGGGGTAGGAGAAGGAGGCCGCTGCCACAGGCAGACGCCATGCCCAGCCTTCCACCAAGCTGCCGGACCGCCCCAGGTCGGGGTGGCAGGAGGCCACACTCCCAGGCCCGCGCCTCCCTATGTGCTCAGAATCCGTTAGGAGAGCGGATGATGGATGCCTGGCGTCCCGGCCTGCGCACACACCCTGGACAGGGCCAGCGGCCGGCTGGGCGTAGTAGATGTGAGAGCACCAGCCTAGCACAGAGCCCACAGATTAGAAGTGCAGGAAACCTCAAATGATGTGCAAAAACATTGTCAAGGTTACGAGAATTTTCCCATCCTTTTGCTTCATAACTCAGCATTGCGGATGGGGGTGATTTATGAGCTAGGGGACCTGGCAGGGGGACCAGGGCTGGGGAGGCCTGTGAGGCCAAGTGGGGAGAATGGGCAGGAGGGCGGCTTCCTTTGGAGGCTCTGGGATTCCTGAGGCTCAGCCCCAAATACCCGGAGCAAGGCTTTGGAACGGGATCGGGCCAGGGAGCCAGTTTTCAAATCTGGGAAGAGACTCAGCCCCAAGGCCCTGGAGGCCACTGCTGGCTGAAGGGGCCAGGGGCCCAGAGGGGGTGCCCAGGAGGCTGGTCTATGCCCTCCTTCCTCCTCGGGCACCCTGTTGCCTTGGGGCTCGGCACCCATCCTTCCCATCCACTTGTGACTGTCTTGGCTTCCTGGGGCCAGAGCAGGTCTCAGCCGTGCCACCAAGCTGGTGTGGGGGGGGGAGGGTGGACTTCACCTGCCCCACAGGCACTGGAGTGTCTCACTGTGGAAGAGGCCGAGAGAGGGACCTGTGGTGTCCAGGCCTCCGTTCCCAACCCCGGGACCCCACAGGTCTTGGAGCAGGTGCAGAGACCCTCCCTCTGGCCCCCGACACAGCTCCCGACCCCCGCTGCTGGGGCCTCCATCTCCTCTTACAGGAAACAGGAAAATACCCGTCCGGGCCTCAGGGGCCTTCGGTGACCAGGGAAGGCTGGCGCAGGCACAGAGAACCGCGCTCCCAGCGGCCCAGCTCAGCCACTGCAGAGTACCCAGGGAACACGGACAGATGAGAGGAAGGGAAGCAAGGGGGAGGCAAACGTCTATGCCCCATTTTGCCTTCCTGGAGTCCGAGAGGGCATGGGCCTGTGGTGTCCTTCTGCAGAGCCAGAGGCGCGGGGTCTGCATCCTGGGAGCACTTCCCCGGTCGGAAGAAGAGAGCAGCGGCTCCCAGGCTCCAGGCCCTCCCTCCCACTCCATTACTCAGTGGGCCCAGGTGCGCCCAGGTGACACCCCTGATGCCCAGCCACGATGGTGGACACAGGCCTGGGCCCTCTCCCCCCATTGCCTGACTGGCTCAGGGGCCCCCAGACTGAGACTTCTGCCTTCTCCGGAGGAAAGGCCCGCAGCCCCCCTGCTGCTGCTCAGAGGTAGGGTTCCAGGGAGAAGGACGTTCCCTCCAGCCCTCAGCGCCCGCCCGGAGGTAACTCCTACCCCGTGACCAGCCAAAGGGTCAGGGGCTGGGGGACCAGGTCTTCTGGGCCAGAGGGGAAGGGCGTTTCCCAGGAGTCACCAGGAAGGAAGCTGCTGGCTGGGGAGTTGCCCCCAGATGGGGACAGGGACAGACCAGTGTCCCGTGCGGCTGAGTGACCAGCCCTTCACACGGGCTTGAGGGACCTGGAGCGGTTTCCCCAGCACAGGGAAGGGTCAGGACAGGGGTCAACCTTCAGAAGAGAGAGAGGCTGGTCAGACGAGGACCAGCAAGCTCACTGGAAGGCTGGGTTTGCCCATCCAGAAGGCGCTCCCCGTGGTGCCGGGGGGCGGGGGGGACGGTGGGCAGGGACCGACCAGGCGGGCGGCAGCGTGGTGGGCTCCTGGGCCCGCAGGGGTGCACACAGCGGGGAACTGGCTCACAGATGGCAGGCCAGGCTGCCAGGGGAGGGGTGGGCAGAGGCGGGACAGGACCCCACAGTAGCCTGAGCACCGAGGGCAGCTGGGGCTCCTCTGCTCTGCCTCATCTCCCCCAGGACAAGTCCCTGGAGCAGCCGAAGGGTCACACACCCCCTCCAGTGTGACAGAGATGGGGGGCAGCAGAGGAGTCCAGTCTGTGCGGGCCTTGGTAGGCTAGCCTCTTGGGGAGTGAGCCTGCAGGACCCCGAGTCCCCACCCGGGGTCGGGGCCTGGCCTGGGGCCCCCAAGTCTGTTTGAGACCCGCATCCCAGGACCGTCCCACGCGGGGCAGTGTGGGGAGGACAGACAGGAGAGTGGGGCATGGCAGAGGGCGCAGAAGGCCTCGGAGGGGCAGACCCCCCAGGGAGGGGCAGGTGCGGGGAGCCCGGGGTCCCTGGTCAGGGTGGGGGGCCCGCAGGCTGCCTTCGGCCATGTACTCGCTGGGACTGCTTTCTCTTTTCCCAAAAACACAACGGACCGCCCCACCCCCACGTGAATGCCCCTCGCACACGTGCACATTCACACACGCGCTCACATGTACACACACGCACATACGTGAGCAAACGGGACAGGGGCTCCCAAGCACTCAGAGCGGAGGCTGGCTGGTCCGTTAGGGATAACTCTTCTGCCAGCGGCCAGGTGGGGAGACGGGCCCACGCCCATCAGGGTGAAGCCACACGCCTGAGGCAGCAAGGGGGCCCCAAGGGGCAGCAGCTGCGACAGCAGGGGTGCGGGGACAGAACACGGCTGTGACGGTCCCGGCAGCGAGTGCCCCTTCCCCGGCCCCAGCCTGTGCCACAGGCGAGGCTGGACAGAGACAGAGGTTGTGGGGTGGGCACCCCACAGAGCCAGGCCCCAGCGGGGGAGGGGAGGGGTGCGTGGGTCCTGGCCGCCCGGCCCCCCCGTCCTCCCTGCGGCAGAGGAAGGCAGCGGCGCCGACCTATCAGCTGACAGCCGCAAACCCCAGGTTTTGCTTTGTGGGTCCTCTGCGGGTTTCCTGCAGTTGGGGTGGGAGGCGTGAGGAGGGCCCCTGAGAGGTGTGAGTGCCGGACAGGGGCCTCTCCCATGTGGGCCTACGCTCCTCCCCCTGCTGGCCAGCCTGCGGTGGCCTCCTGATGCCCCCCGTGCCCCCGGGCGCCCCGAGGGTCTGGACACAGGCAGCAGAGGGCAGAGGGCTGGACAGAGAGCTTCTCTGTGCCACGCTGTCCCTCCATCCCTGCCTGTCCATCTCTCATCTCTCCCCTTGGCTAGGACTCCTGGCCCCTCTCCCCTTTCTCAGAATTAGGCCCATCTGGGAAAAGCCCCCCAGAGAGGAGAATCACAGACCCGAGTCTCCTGGGTTTATCCCTTCCGGGTCAGCCTCTGGGGACTCCAACAAAGCTGGGCCCAAGCCTGTCGGCTCTGACACTTGTCGGGCATGGGAGGGGTGCTCGGGAGGGGCTGCGTGGGCTCCAGGAGAGGTTTCCAGGAGCCCTGCGCTGTGCGTGGGCAGACGGGGCCGAGGCAGTTTCTGTGCCTCCCACAGCAGTACCCTTGCCCCCGAAACTGTGCTTCCTCGTCCCTCGGAGGCCAGGCACAGCCCTTGGCCATCCAGAAAGGGTCTGTGGACACTTGGGGGGCAGCCGCACTGTTGCAAAGCTTCCTGAGTTGCTGGTCAGAAGCAGCCTCTCCGGGCCTCGGGGCGCCAGCTTCTTGCCCTTCCCAGGTCCCTGTCATTCAGAGCAGGTGCTCGGGACACACTCCAGGAACCAGAGGCCACGGTGCCTGGAATCGGTCTCCTTGGTCTTTGCTGGGACAGGTCACTACCTGCCCTCCCTGAACGTATCAGGTCATTGTGACGCCCTGCTCACCCGGACACCCTTTCCTCTTAGGCTTCAGCCCCTCCCTCCGACCCGCTAAGAGCTGGGGCTGGACCTCCCAGGAAGTTGGCCTAAGAGACTGCTGGCCCCAGGCTCTGGATTCAGATCCTGGGGCAGGGACGGAACGGAGCAGGGGTGGGGATGGGAGGGGACTCTGCTGCCTTTTCACCTCAGGCTCCCGAGGTCCAGGGGCACCCCTCCCTCTGGCCAGGGATGGTAAACGACGCGCTCAAAGATGCGCACCCTGAGGCGCATGTTCAGAGCCCCGTGGCACCGACAAAGTCACCGAGCCCGTTGCGGGTGCGCCGGCTTCGGAGGGTGGACCGAGAGGCCAGGTCCCAGGTGTCACATGGAAACTTCCCACCTTTAAGAATACGGAATGCTTTTCTTACGTTCGGGGCGACGTGAGTGCTGGTGGGGAAATGCACACGTGCACACGCCCACTCACACCGGCTCGGACGCAGCCACACACCCCAGCAACACCTCTACCTTCTAGAATGTTTTCCTGCAGCTGGGCACCCCAGCGCCCCTCAACAGAGGGCTCTGTTCTCAGACGCGGCGGCCTCTGCTTTCTCACATGTGGGGCGGCTGGGGCTTCCTGCAACCCCCGGGGGCCTCCGTCGTGGCCAGGCCAGGGCAGCCGGCTGCTCGGTGAGCAAAAGGGCCAGCCTCCCGCCCCTCTACCGGGCTCTCAGAGGCTCCTGGAACGGGCAGCTGGGTGGGATGAGGACCTCACCATCACCCGGGGGTTCTGCCGAGACCCAGAGGCTGGACCGCCTTCCTCCGGGGCCCGAGCAGCTGGTCCCTCGTTGGGCAAACGCGCATCGTGCAGACTCTCGCGCACAGGATACCTCTGACCCTCCCCGGTTCTCTGCCCCCCCCCCCCCCGGCAGATCTCCGAAGACCTGAGCACGGAGAAGCTGTGCGCGGACGCAGGGCAGGCGGGCTCCGGCAGCTGGCTCAAGTACATCCGGGTGGCGTGTTCCTGCGACGACCAGAACCTCACCATGTGCCAGATCAATGAGCAGGTGGGTGCGGCCGCGCGTGTGGGCCTCGGAGTGGCCCTGGGGGGGGCTCAGCCCCCAGACCAACGAGAGGGGCCTGCGAGCTGAAGGGCTGGCGCCGCCTCTGCCGGGACTCCTGCCCGGCCCTGTCCCGCGGCGGGGCGGCGATTTGTCAGACGGCCGGGGCAGAGTTTCCGGGCGCTCAGTGACGCCCCACGGCTGCTCCACCGAGGAGCTCAGCTGGCAGCTGGCCGGGGCTCGAGAACCCAAAGATGGTGGTTTCCGTGACGGAAAGCCGTGGGAGCGGCAGGTCCTGAAACCACAGGGGTCCCCGTCCTTGCTGTGCTGCCCCAGGAGGGAAGCACAGAGCCCGGCCCGTCCACTTATGAGCTGTCATCTCCAGGGCTCGGTCTGGCCAGGCTCCCCCCAAAAGGGTCAGCACTGCCCCCCGAGAGCGGACCGTCATCCCTATGGCGTCCGGGCCAGGCTTCGGAGGGAACCGGACATGTTTGGGCAAACAATCCTGGCCCCAGTCACAGCCACCTGAGCCTTCCTGAGCTCAGTGGCCCTGACTTCAGCCCCTGCCCCTTCAGCACCAAGGGACAACTGACTTCCGCCGCCAACCCTCCGGAGGCCGAGGGCCCCGCTCGGCGTGCTGGGTCCATGCTAGCCATGGTCCGTGCCGCCCTAGGACCACAACTGCTCATGGTGGCCCTCTAGGCCCGTGAGCAGTACAGGCCAGAAGATGCCAGGCAGAGTTTCTTTTGACCAGGAAGGCCACGCGTCCCCAGTGCTGGGAGCTCTCAGTTTATGTCTTTAATTACAAGTCTGCAAGTGGCCCCTGGAGCCTCCATGCTCCAGAGCCAGACCCCTCGGGCACATTTCCGCTGAGCTCCCAGAGCGCCGGGCTCCTCGCAATGCTGGGGGGCCCAGCCCCTCCCATCAGAGCCGTTGGCTTTTGCCTATAATATCTTGGGGTTACACATGAAATTTCATCTGCAAAAGGGATTCCACTGTTTTCAAAGATGTTTTCAGAGACCACATAACAAAGGGCACATTCTCCCATCGCCTGTGCAAACCATTAAAAGCAGTTCGAGGCACTTGACTTCAGAGAAACAGTTTTGCATTAAGAAACACAGAGAGCAACACCAGGGAGGTCCCTAGGACCCCCGTGAGCTGCCCCCCAGCTCTTCTTCTTCTGCTCAGGCTCCTTCTTGGCCCCAGGGCTCAGCCTGGATTGAGCTGTTCCCCGCTGGGCACGAGTGGGTCCTTGCTTCACAAGCCGGCGAAGTTAGAACATGCCTCTGCGCCTGGGATGACTGCAGTTTGTACATAGAACCCAGCATTTGGAAAATCACAAAAGCATATTGAGGAAATTAAAGCAAAAGAAGATCCACAAAAAAATCCGACCTTAAAAAAAACAGCAACACTTTTCCTTCTTCCAAATGAAGGTGAAATGTAAGTGGCGGAGAATCAGAGGTAGGCACGTGGAGAGATGGGCTTTCCAACGCCCCTTCCTTTGTGGGCCCCGGTGTCCTTGGCCGTGTGTCCGGAAGCTGGGGGGCAGTGGAAGGAGCACCGTGGGGCCGGGCCCAGGAGGGCATTTCTGTGACATGCAGAATAGAGTGATGGAGGTCTGTGTTCTTTATTTACGAAAGACATTTGTTCGAGTGTTTGAACCAAACCTAAAGTAGCAAAGTAGGTACCTTTTTGTGGCCAAGTTCTGGAAAGCCAGCAGGTGTGGGAGCTTCTCAATGAGGGGCCTGTCCTCAAACATCTTTCTTTGTCTTGGTATTAATATTTCGGGGGAGTGTGTGTGTCCATTCCACACGGCGGAATTAACAGCTTTGCAGCAACGTCTTTCCGTCTCTTTCCACCAGGGGACAGAACCCTTTCTGCTGGGCAGGAGTGATGGTCCTTAATTCTTACTGGTTCCCTTAAACCCACTTTGGTCCCCCTGTGCTTACCTTTCCCAAGGATCCGGCTTAGGGTCCGAAACACTCCTGGCTCTTTTACTCAATCCCACTATGACATCAAAATTCCTTCAGGCCCCTCCCCACCTGCTGGATGTTTCTCTCTGACATGGCCTTGGGGGATTAACTACCCCCATTTCAGTTCGCAAGCTCCGATGGAACTTGGGGTGTCCATTTAAGCATATGCCACACTGTCATGACCCAGAGCGTCGACATTGCTCTACCTGGGGCATTTCAGATCCCCAGCCTCTGAGGGAGAGTGGAGCCCCCCACCCTTGGAGCGCCTCCAAGGACCAGGTGGTCGCTCCCGGTGTTACAGAGCAACGGGGTGCCCGCCAGCGTCCCGTCCCTCCTGAGGAGGCGCACCTGCGCGCTTCACCAGCCATGGGGAGGGGCCTTCGGGTCACCCAGGGAAGCAGGAGCAGGGGAGAGGCGGGACCCCAGACGGGCACCAGGTCGGGAGGTGCTCAGAAGGCTGTCAGCTGCCCCAATTTTCATCTCAAAGTCTTACCTTTGCATTTCAGTTATCAGAGGAAAATGGGCAAATTGTGGGGCATATTTTCCTTTGTAAAATAATCCTAATGATTTCAGACTCTAACAGTGTGAGGAACCGCACTTCGATCCAACTGCACAGGCCTCAGTAATCATTGCTTGAATAAAGCGAATTTTAGAAATGCCTTTTTTAAAAAAATCATTTATTTATGTTGAGAGAGAGAGTGCGCGAGAGCAGGGAAAGGGGCAGAGGGACAGGGAGAGAGAGAATCCCAAGTGAGCTCCATGCCGAGCACAGAGTCCGACGCAGGGCTGGAGCCCCCGACTGGGAGATCATGACCGGAGCTAAAGTCAAGAGTCGGACATTCCACCGACTGAGCCACCCAGGTGCTCCTAAAAATGTCTCTTTGAGAGGGATCTAATGGACCACTTTTAATTACCGAGTGAGTTTGTCCCCGAGGCTGACTAGCTCTCTCGGTGGGATGGCCACGCGGCCCCTGCGGAAAGTGTCTCCATTCCCATCCTGACTGTTGGAAACACGGGTTGCTACAAAGTGGACTAAAAATGTCCCTGAAATATTAATAATAAAACAAAGATTTTTGGAGACAGGCTTCTCTTTGAGAAGGAAACATTACACGATATTAATGGAGTTTCTCAGATTTCCGTAATCCCAAGGGTTTCTACCAGGATTTCCTGCACTTACGGACAACCCCTGCCACGCACACAGGCAAACACACGGAAGCGAACAATCCTCCTTTCTCTGTCTCCATCTCGCACACACACACCGGCTCCCGACGGCACAGAAACGGAAGGGACAGCGTCCAGACTGAAAATCGAAGATCCACGATGCAGGGTGGGGTTTGCCAGACGGTCTTCAGAAGCCCAAGTCACGTGACTTCAGCCCCGGTTTTGAGAGGACGAAGGAGACGGGTCAGGAGTGGGTCTCGGGGTCCCGAAGAAAAAGTCTCTGGAGTCGCAGCTCCCAGAAGAAATGATCTGGTGGCTGAGGAGGAGGCAGCTCTGGACCGGACACGTGTCCTCTGGAGGGAGCCATGCATCTCCTCCGTGGACTGTGGCACCCATGTCCGTGAGCCCAACCCTGCCTCCAGCTTCTCATTTATGCCCTGAGACTCCCCCCTCAGGCGCCCCGGGGCTCTGAGAGGTCCCAGCCCCAGGGGCCTCAAGGACGGGTGACCCGCCAGTCACTCTGCTCTGTCCTCTCTGAGGCTCCAGGTTGGGGAGCCCCACGAGCAGAGGCCATGCCAGGCCGTGAACTTCCTCCTGGACTCGGCCGCATCAACTCAACAGTGACTTGTGGCTTGCTACCCACATGGAGCCCACAGAGAGGTGGCCGGGCCACTGGGAACAGAGCGTCCACAGTAGACGGCTGAACGGACGAAGCTTTTCTCCGGGACTTTTGGGGGTAGTCAGATCACAGCCGAAGATGCTGGGGTGCTTTGATTTGCCTTTCCCACTCAGCGTCAACGGAAGGCGAAGGAAAGCCCACGGGCACCTCAGTTCACTCTGGGTGGCATGAGCCCGCCTCCGGCCCCGGGCGACTTCGCCTCCCTCTCCCCCTGCCGCCCACCAGCTCCTGCTTTTCCTCTCGGAAAATCTGAGACACTCAGATCACCCCTGGGTGGTTCTTTCTCCCGCAATTATGAGCAAACAAATTCGTTTGAAATGTTTCAGGAGACGGACAGTGTCTGTCCCTGGGTTGGTCTCCATGTTCAGAATGAAAACAAGAGCTTGGGAGTAAGGCGCGTGCGGGCCTGATCACCGCGTGGCTCTCTCCCGGTCCGCCTCACCCCTCCAGGGCAAGGATGCTGGCGACCGACCTCACACGGCCAGTGGGGCTGAGGACGGCGTGCTATGGTACTGGGGTCACAAACAGACATCGGGGAGCATGACTCAGGGGCTCCAGGCCCCCCGGCACTCTAAGGAGAGGCCGCGAGGCCCCCACCGCACCCCCAGGTCTGGCTGGGTGGCGGGGGATCCCCAGCACCACCGGCACGTTCCCCCCGGGCAGAGACCGCTCAGCCTGGGGCCGGGGCTCCCCAAAGTGGAAGCAGACGGGCGTGTTAAAGGAAGGCATTTCGTTAGCCGATGAGCCAGCCGATAAGCACGCAGCCGTGTGCGTGAGAGCCCGCGCTCGCTCGCTCTAATGAAAACCCGGTGCTCCCGGCCCAGCGCGGCCCAGGATGCTTCTCTTTCACTTTCGCTTCCCCTCCCTCCACGCGGACCCCTCTGCCTGTCGCCCGTCGCCCGTCACGGCCTGTGAGCGATCCGCGGGGGCTGGAACTCACGGGATGGCATCCAGCGCCCCGTTCCTTCTCCCTCTGCTCTCAACCCCCACCATTTTCTAAATTAAACATTGTAGCTCGCAAACAATTAGATACAATTTCCCCTTTGAAACGAGAAGGGCAGGGGATTCATTGTAGCGTTTCTTGGCGGGTTTTCAGAAGACTTAAGGTATATATCAAATGCCTTGGGGTCCGAAAGCTGCGCATTCAGAGCAAACCGATCCTTTCTCTTCGGCAAAGAATAAGATACAGATTCAAGCGCGCCCTCGCGCTCCCAGCGGCGCTCTCGCGTCCGGATTCGTGGAAGGGGATATGTTACCAGGAGATGCCCCTCCGGAGGTCGAAGACCGTCTCTCTAGCCGCAGCCGGGAGCGTCTGTGTAGACACGGATACACTCTCCAGGTCCAAACGCACCGCAAAGGCAGAGAGAAATGTGCCGGATTTTTCCCCATGTGTGTGTGGCTGGGAAAGTGACGGGGCGGAGCAGCGAGACCGTGAGGACGTGGACACAATTGCTTCAGCCCCACAGGGGCAGACAGGAGCATGGTGAGTGTCTCCTCTGTCGCCCAGAGGAAGAGACTGTCTGCACGTCCCTGCTCGGGTCTCCGTGGTTCTGTAAACTCCAAATGCTCGAGCCCTCAGGCAGCCTCCGGGCCCGGTGTCCAAGACTTTCCCAGGCACAGACTGCCCACAGTTTGGGGACAGCAAGTCGTGAAGACAAATGTAGCATCTTTAGGTCCTAGAAGCAATGAGACAGCACAGGAGCCCCCACCCCACCCCTGGCTCCCCAGGGGTCTTGAGAGAGAGACAAAGATGCCCAAGGACCAGCCCCCCCCCCCTCCGGACGGGCCAGAGGCAGCCAGGCCACTCTGATTCCCCTCACTGGGCGCCTGTCTCTTACGAAGAGACCCTCAAGTAGCACCCCAGAGGCCCCCGCGACTCCAGCCCGATTCCCAAATCCAGGGCGGACAGAAAAACACAAAGATTTCGCGCATGTGACCAAAACCCTCCCTGAACGTCTCTCAAACTGGTCAGAGCAGGAGCGCTTGACCACCTCCGTGTTCCTACAAAACGCGTCTACTCCGGGGCAGCGGGGGGCGGGGGGGGGAGTGTGGCCCGGCCCCCACCTCCTCGTGGCACCCTGGTAGTTTGGGTGGATTTCCTCACAATTTAACGTGTAAGATTCTAAGATGGAACAGGAATGAAAATCGTGGAACGTAAACTCATATTCACAGTACCTATCCCTGTGAGTTCGTTTGATATTTAAAAAACAAACTCGAGAAAGTGGCCAAAACGGAGAGCCATTTTTTTTAAATTTGAAATATTTGATCTCAAAGAATGCTGTTCAGGGGCCGGTGATGGTTTCCATGGAAGGGCCAGTGCCCGAGCGCAGCTTGGGTGAAATCCAACCTTTCTCAGGCCATTTCCCCACCCGGTGTGGAACATAGCCGTTCGTTTGTCCCCGAGCTCTGGCCACCTGCGGGGAGCCGAGTCCCTGCGTCTGGAGAGGGACAGAGGGGGAGAGAGCACAGCTGTCGCTCAGAGGACCAGGGTTTGGTGCGGAGCCGCGGTGCTCGTGGAGAGCCCAAGACTTTGAAACAAGGGCCTGACTTCAGACCCCCTCTGTTTAGCTTCGTTCCTTTGAAAGCTCTGTAAGGGCAGACATGCATGGGCTCCCGTGAACTCAGCTGTTGCGGCTTCCCTAGCTCTCAGATCATGAACCCGGGGTGGGGAAGGCTCCAGCGGGGTCTCCCCCGCCGGACGCCAGGAGCCTGGAGACCGGGTTTTGGGGACCTGGGCACTGCAGCTGCTGGGGGGATGGGGGGGCATGTCCTCCTGGGTGCTGTCACCTCCAGGGACCTGGCTCCTATCCCCGTGGCCGCCAGCCTGGCATCAGGGTGGGGAGGGGCTCTGTTTCCTGGAGGAACCGACCCTCAACCCCACCCCATGGAAACAGGAGCCCTCGGCCCCTCCGCGACGCCCACCCGCCCTCAGGTCTGAACCCGACCCGCTGCAGGGCGTACAGTGGAGGGGACCTGACCAGCCCACGTCCAGAACTTTGAAGGGGCCTCGGGAATCGTGTTATAGTCTCGGCTCTGTCCACGCACCGTTTGCAACACCCCAGAGGCCGGGAGCCGCCCAGGCCTCCGTCCCACCGCAGCCGGCCTTTGTCCCAGGAAGTCGGCAAAGCCCGCGGACCTGGAACTGTGACTTTCTCCACGGGTCTGGCTGATAAGGCCTTTGTGCCTGTGGGAACCGACAGTGAAAACCCCCGGCTCTTGTGTGCACCCCAGTCACCCTCATACCTCCATGCCCCCGGTGGAGGCAGCACCCGCGGAGTTCGAGGAAAGATCGCGCTGATTCCTGTCCACCTCCAGCCCCCCTTCCAGGTGGAGGCATGTTGGGGATGCCCCCGCCCCCCACCCGGCCCGGCCCTGCAATTAGCACTAATAGCAACTAATTCCATCTGCCGCTCAAAGTCCAGGCAGACAAGGCTGAGGGCCACTGCCCTCGTGTCCTACTCTCCAGCCCCGCCAGGTGCCCAGAGGACCGTCCAGGGCTGGGGACAGGGTGCCGGCTGTGCCTGGGACTGCTCCCCACGGCCAAGAGCTCTAGACCCTCCCTGAGCTCTGAGGCTCCTGCTGGGGCTGTGCCGGCGAGGGAGTGTGGGTCCCGGGGAGGCCGGGCAGTCTGGGAGTGCGGCTGGGGCTGCAGAGGGGTCCCGGCAAGGTGGGGCAGCCCTGGAAGCTGGGAGGGTGTGGGGGCGGGGACCTCGGCAGCCCTGGAGGACGTAGGGGATTCCAGGAGGTCCAGCTTCGAGGTGGGGGGGGCATCCCAGGAGAGCCAGCGGCACTGGGAGAGGGGGGTGAGGAGGGAGGGGGTCCCGGGAGGCAGGGTGGCCCTCCGAGGGGGTCGGACAGGGAGGCAGAGAGGGGAGGCGGGCCACACTTAGCCCCCGCTAGCCTGGAGTAGGAGCCTAGCAGCCGGCTGGAGGGAGGACGGAGGGAGGACGTGGCCCCAGGAGCCGTTCGCACGGAGCGGGAGCGGGACACCAGGTCAGAGCGGGGCCTCGGGGAGGGACCTGGCGGCGGGCGGGCCCACATTGCCCTCTAACGGGCCCCAGGGGAAGCCGAGGCACGGACCCTCCTCTGTCCCCAGCCGGTCCCTGCCTTTGTGCCCCCACTGGTGCGATGGCGGGCGGCTGGGAGGGCGCTGTGCCGGCGGAACAGCCCACCTTGTTGGGGCCTCCCTGGCGTTGTTGGAGTTCGAGTCCCGCAGACGTTGGACCCCGTTTTGAAATGCAGTGGCTCGAGTATGATTTTTATGAAACAGTTATTTGGTCACTGTCATTCTTTAGATAAAAGGACACAGAACTGGGGTCACAACAATGGGCTTAATTACAAAAGTGAGTAAGGCCCAGAGTCTCATCTCCGTTTTACAGTCTTGTCGCCGATCCCGCGTTGCAGCCGAAGGAAATTAGCGCAGGGAGAGGGAGTTTGCCCACCGCCTCGTTACCGCTGTCTGGGTGCTCTCGGGGTACGTCCCGGCGCGCTGGGGACCCAGTGGGGCTCTGTGTGTCCTCTTGGGAGCTCCCTGCTGTTGTCCCGGGGCGAGTCAGGACCAGTTTGTGTGGGAGCCCACACGGACATGGCCTGTGGAGGGCAAAAGGGTTCCGGTGAGGGAGGAGGAAGCTCAGCCCTCCAGATGCTTCCCGGGGCCTGGGGGTGAGAGGAGAGGCAGGAGTGGTATGCGGGCTGCGTGCCCCGCTTAGTCTCTGGGTGTCCGTGCCACGTCCCGCTGCTGCTGGATGGTCTGGCCTGATCCCTCACCCCCGGCCCTCCAGCAAGAGGGCAGTGCTGGAGGGCCTCTCGGGGGGGATCAGTCTGGAGAAGCTGGGACCCCTGCATTTCCCAAGGCAGGTGCAATCATCTTGGTCTCTCTCTGGCCTCCGGGTCAGTCTTGCGGCCAGCCTCCGGGCTCCTGGAAGCACCTTGACCCCTGTTATCTGGATAGAGACCTGGGTGGTAGGCAGTTTGACATTTCTGGACTTGAGATGCAAGACCCCTGGTGTCAGCCCCACTATGAGAAGATTTAGGACCTGTCCTCCGCCCAGGTGTCACTGCTCTCCAGAGAGGGTAGGGGGTCCCAGGGAGGAAAGACTCCCGTCCTCTCCCACAGTCACCCAGGCCATTAGAGCCCGATCCCTGGGTGCCATCCAAAATGGGCCTGCCCTGGTGCCCTTCTGAGCCGCAGGGTTTTCCAGATCTTGGCCACACCTCCAGGGCAGATGGCCCCTTTTCCAGACACGTGTGGAGGCCACAGGGCTCCTTGGAGCGTTGAGGTTAGATATTCCAAACTCACCTCCCCTCGACCTGAGTCTGCTTCCCCAGGCCACGGCATCTGCCCTGACCCCCTGCACCCTGCCTGTTCTCAGTGAGTGCCCATCTAGCCTAGGACGGCTGCTGGGCACAGAGCTCGCTGCAGGCGCATGTGCCCCTCTGCCTTCCCTCAGGAACAGTGTCCACACTCGTGGGAGAGTCCCAGCCTGCTGCCCTGGCCCGCGGGGCCTCTGTCTGTGCGCATGGCCATGTTTAGAACATGCAGATTCACTCTTGACCCCCACACCCCCCCCCCCCCCCCCCCGCCCAGCAGCAACGCGGGTTTGGCCTACACACTGGGACGAGGACCCTGAGAACCACGCTGGGCCCTGCTCCCGGTTGGCAAGAGCCGCCCTCCCTGATGTTTCCCGCTGGGACGTGCCCCGCCTGGGAACTTCCAGGTGGCTTCTCACCGATTTCAACCCCTTCACCAACACCCAACAACCTCATGAAACAAATTCCAAGGGATGCAGTCCTTCTGAGTATGTTCTGCAAAGTTCCAGAGGGGGACCTCTGAGCAGGAGTTAGTAGGCAGGTCAAGTGGCCAGCCGGCCGGGCCCTGCGAGGAGCGGCGTGGCCTGCCTGTGCCCGGCATGGCTCCCTGAGCAAGGACGGCCATGCTCACTCCTTCTCTCTGCCTTTCTGTCCTAGATTTATTATAAAGTCATCAAGGACATTGAGCCTGGGGAGGAGCTGCTCGTGCACGTGAAGGAAGGCGCATACTCCTTGGGGACGGTGCCCTCCAGTCTGGATGGTAAGCCCCCCGCCTGGCAGGAGCTCGAGGCCTCCCGTCGCATCACACCGCGTGACGGGGGCCGCACTCCTGGGCTCCTGCCCCAGGCCCCCCTCCCAGTCTCGCAGCCAAAGCATCGTTCTCTCCCGTCTTTGAGTTACACGAGCCACACGCCGCATTCCAGACGGCACTCCGGACAACACGCGTGAGTGGCTGTCGTGTGGCACCGTATCTTTGTGGTGGTAGACTCCCAGGGGGATTTTTTAAAATATCTATTATTATTATCAGCCCCAGTGCTTAAAAAAACAAAAACAAAAACAAGACCAAACAAAAACACACGTTTTATGACTTGGAAACCGTCCCCCTCCAGAGCCCTGGGAGGCATTTGGGGCTCATTGAAGAGGGCAATGATGGCGTGTGTGTGTGAAAGCCGCGCCTGCCTACAGTTAACAGCAGAAAGTCCAAGAGAAACGTTAAGGGAAAACTGATTTTGTGAGAGGCAACCCAGGGGGCTCCGGGGGTCCCACAGGGGCAGGAATGACAGCTGAGTTCTTCCCACTGACCCTGCCCGTCGCTCCTGACTCGTCAGTCTGTGCTCGTCCAGGGGCTCCCTTGCCCCCTCCCTCAACCACGGCCGAGTGCAGCTCAGAGGACGTTCAAAAAATTCCTGCTGCAAAGAGGCTAGAATTTCTGAAATGCAAAAATTATTTTCCTTCATCCACATTGTGGAGCAATGTACCATTCACCTTGGGGTCTGGAACCGCTTCTCAGTCCATTCGAGGAACGCTGTGCTGGCAGCAGAGCACTGCCCGTCAGCTCCCTGTGTGCCGCCGCCAGCACACGGTGTCTTTTCTTGGAACGAGACCCCACAAGTGAACAGAGAAGTAGCCTCCCCTCCTGGCGGGGGCTGGTGACTCCGTTCACGCTGGAGTAGGGGGAGGCCGGTTTCCCCTTCCTGCCTTTCTTTCCCTCCCGTCCGAAGGCACAGGGGCATAATGACTAACGCCACTGACCACAAGTTCCTCTAATACTATCACATGAGGGAGTGGCGCTGGCTGGGGCTGGAGCCGACGCAGAGATCTCTGCCTTAATTTACCCTTTCGATCCCCAAGCGTGGCCCAGCAATGAGGGTCCTCGCTCCACGTGGCCCGTGTCTCTGAGTTCCCGCTCCAGAGGCCGCAGAGCCGGGTCCTATCTATATGCACCTCTGAAGTTTGGTTCCAATTAGGCTGTGGAGAAAAGAAAAATAAATGGCCAAGTTCTGGGTCGTGAGGGGATGGTCTCATTTTCCTTAAAATAATTGTTGGAAAGACCTGTAGAGCTCAGGTAGCACAGGAGAACACGGAAAGATAAACCCACTTACCTCAGGGGAGCGCCCGGCACGATCTCGTTTGTGTAATGAAACTTCTTTCTTCCAAAAGGTTTTAAAAAAAACCTTGATTGCTATCCACCACCACCAACCGCCCTCTCCCCCCACCCCGGCTCCCGATCTCAAATAAGCTGGGTCCACATTTCCCTAATAATTCATCAAACATTTGCGGGCTAATTGCTTTCCACACACAATAGTCCAGAATCAAGTGTCTGACTTTTCATACTCTCTGCTGTGGGGGTCACCCCCTTGCCCCCCAACAGCCGCCCCCTCCCTAGCTAAACTCGGAATGGCACAGAAAGAAAATGCAAAAATGTTCCTCACTAAGATAATTATCATAAAAAATCTTTTATCCCAGCCCCAGCTAAATGCGGAGGCCCCTTATCACGGCAGGAGCTTGGAGTGGGCCCTCCAGCGCTTTTGAGGCTCAGTCTGGAAGATTAGTATGTAGATGCCACATAATTGTGTCCCCCTCGGCTCTCTGAAGCCATTAGGCACTGACTTATTTTTCTGTTACATTCCTGCTCGGCCATGAAAAGTTGCTGATAGAACAGAGAGACTGCCCGGCGCACACCTGACACACGCCACGACGGGCGGGCACACCCGGGTCCAGTCCGCGTTGGGAGGACACGGGGCTTCCCCAGCTCACGGACCCCATGGACTCCCAGCGGGTTCAGATGAAAGGAGTTCAGTTTTTAATTACAATTTTTGCGTGCTGCCGTCGGGGGCAGGGGCCTTTGCCGGGGAGCAAGGTTCAGGTACACGCAGAAGAAACAGCGTCCCGGGTCCCCGGCCCACGGGGGGCAGAGCGGGGACAGAGCGCGCGGGGCCTGCAGCTCTGAGCCCGGGAAGGCTCTTCCCCAGCCGCAGCTTTGTAAAGGAGCGCGCCTCCGATTCCCCGGCAAGTGACTCAGAGCAGAGGGAAGCCACTTTCGCATTCATTAGTTCCAGCGACTTTCTATTTTGTTTTTACGCTCAGTAGAGAAGGGAAAGATTTCGCTTTCGGGAAAGCTTCTTGCTCTTGGGAGAAAATAAAGAAAATAATTTCCATTCAAATACGCTTTTCTTTTGAGAAAGGCTCAAAATTGTTAACTCCCCCCACCATAGAAAGTCAAGAGGATACAGTGAATTGCATATAAAGCGCACCAGACAGATTATAATACAATATAACACAACATAACATACGCCACAACACGGCCGGCTGCAGTAGCTTATGATACAATGTAACACACTACAGCCAGAGGAGAACGGTCGCTCTTAGTATTTTTTTTAACATGGAATTATCGTGCTGGGCAGTTGGACCACACGGGCAGGGCCCATCCTTCCTGGGGCATCTAGCGAGCCCCGAGCGTGGACGCTTTGCGCCCGCCTTACCTGCATGAGGGAAGCTGGGACCCCTGTCCACACCATAGCACGGGGTGAGGAAGGGGCGGGTGTCGAGGCTCACCCACCGCCAGCCCCCGGCTCCATCCTTCACCCTCGCAAACTTGGGTCCGTGGAGGGATGAGGGCGAGGAGGGCGCCTTTTAACCCCCCCACCCCACCCCATCTGTTTAACGGCCTCAGGACGTCCTCACATGCTGTCACCGCAGCAATGGGCTCAGTTTTCATTTTAAGTCCAAATTCCAGATCGAAATTGAGAAAGTGGAGTTGGTTGGTGGTACGGATGGGTGGGGTTGGCCTTTCTTCTCGTCTTTGTTTTCAAATTTCAACTTCTGCGACTGTTCTCAGTTGGGTCCAGAAAGAGTCAACTACCAACGGGCATTTCGAACTGACTCGCAGCGCCAGTGGTGGTGGGAGGCCCCAGGAAGTCAGAACAAACCCACAGGGGCGGCTCTGAGGGGTCTAGGCATCCGGCTCCGTTCTGAAGTGGTGTTCTCGGTCCTCAGATGGGGAGGAAATCCACATTTCTAAAGATGACGAGGGCCCGCAGGGGAATGCCAGGCCATTCCGAGCGCACACGCCACGTCTGGCGCTGCACTGGGCCCCTCGCGGGAAGCTGGGACTCTGCCACCGCGCTTCCCGGGCCCCGCCCGGCGGCTCGGCTCTGGTTACACAGCCCTGCCGCCTGCTCTCTGGGTGTCCCGGCCTCCGTTTACTGGTCGCCAGGCGGGCATAGAGTCTGCCCCTGGGCGCGTGGATGGCGTCTGTGCACCAACAGCAGGAAGCTCCTAGCCAGGGCCTGCTGTGCGGCGGCCTCAAGGCCTCGGGTGTCCCCACTGCCGGACACGTTCTTTTCCCAGGAGGCATTCTCCGGAAGGGTTCACGCGTGAATTTGACTTTGGAGGCAACGCTGTGTAGACGTGGCAGGGGGCGGGCGGTGGGGGGCCTATGTCGTGATGAACGTCGTCTGCAGGCTTAGTGGCCAGCAATGCACGCTGCTCCCTGGGGACCGGCTGCTGCTTGGATGGGTTTTGTTCGAGAACTTTCGCTGTCCTTGTGCTCCAGGCAGCCCCAGGCCCCACGGCTCCTGTGCCTCTGGCCCTGGCTGTGCCTGGATGCCGCTGGCCTCGGTGTTGGCAAACATACCCTCCCTGTGTCCCCCAGCCCAGGGTCTGGGGTCTGCGTGGACTGCCAGGCCTTGCCTCTTTCCCCTCCGTTTTGCAGCTCAGCATCTGTCTGGGGCAAGTGCCAGGGGCAGCCTTGCTGGGAGATGTTTGGGGCAGAGATTTCCAAGCCCAGAGGCTCAAACCCATGCTCTCAGTCCCAGACCGCCAGACTCAGCGCGAGCTGCTGTTGCGCGTTTGTGTTGAATTCCTCCAAACAAACACTTCCTTGACATCAGGCTGTCCGTTGTGAGCCGGCCAGGACGCCTGGACCTGCACTGGAGCCCACCCGGCCCGTCCCTGAGGCCCTTCCCTGGGACCCAGAGAGCTACTCCCTCACACAGGCGTGAACAGAAGTCACACTGTGCCTCTGACAGTGTCGTCCAAGCCCTGGGGGCCCGGCCAGGGACAGCCCAGAACCAGCTCCCACAGAGTCTGCCTCATGATGGTGGGGGGATCCGGTGGAGATGCCGGCTGTGACCAGACATCGGGAGCCACGCCTCCAGCCTTAGTCTCAGGGAAGCTTCTAGTCATGAGCAGGAGGCCCTCACTCTCCCCAGCTCTCTCCCCTAACCCCCTGCCTGGGCTGCAAAGATCCCCCACCCTCTCCTCGGCACTCAGAAGGTTATGGTGGTCTCTCTGACAGGGGAGGAGGCGGGGACAGCCCCCTTCTGCCCGCCCCCTATCTCCCTGCCTCCTTGGCTTTGACATCCCTCAGGGTTAGGCCATTTCGGTAACAGTCAGCCCAAGGTCACCACGGCTCAGCTCTGCATGTGCGGACGTGCTCACACACACACACATTCACACTCAGACACGTTCTCAAACATATACTCACATGGTCACAGAGACACGCACACACATGAAAACACACGGTAAAATATGCACACACATGTACACAGGTGCACACACACCTGCACGTTCACGCACACACACATGCTCCGATGCACTCACACTCTACACACATGACGTGTGATCAGCCTCACACAGATGTGTGTGCATAGCGTGTGCATCCGTGTACATGTGACGCACACGTGCCCACATGTGTGCACCGAAGTGTACATTCAGATGTGCGATGTGTGTGCGCTGACGCAGCATGCACACCGCCCTCGCACGCACATGCACATGCATGAACACGTGGACGCACGCCAAGACGAATTTCCCCATGTGCAGCCACATACAGAAGCACGCGCACACTCACACGAACAAGTGTGGAGGCACAAATATTCCTACACATTCTTGCAGAGACGCACAGACGTGGATGCAGGTGTGTTCAAATGCAAACACTCGCACCCTGTGCCACAGCTGTACACCTGCTCACACACACACTCACATCCCAGAGTTACACACCTGCGCCCGAGCGCACGTGCATTCCCACGCTCACTACCAGCACACACATGCACACCTTTCCAAGCAGCTGTGCAAGACCTTCTATGCACGCGTTCTCTCCCCGCCTGGGCCAGGGAGGGGTTATCCGCTCCGCAGAGGAGCTGCTGCCAGCCGTCGCCCGGGGTGGGGCCTGGGGATGGGCCCAGAGGTCGTCTCCCCGGGGAAATTTACGGCCTGGAGCTGACTGTTTGGCCTGGCGCAGTGGTCAGGATCTTGTCTCGTAAACTTAATAATAGCTGCCCCCCCTTTTAATTTGTTTGACCTTGACGACAGTAATTTATGAGGCGTATTAGGGCTCCGCCGTGTGTTTTCTCCTAATTCATAAACAAAGCGCTCGCCAGCTTCCTTCTCCACTCCCCGGTGCGGGGCCTTCTCAAGCCCCGGGTGGCCTCCTGCCATGCAGGGTGGGGCCCAGGCCTTCTCCGATCCTGATGGCGCAGACACGGGACCTGGAGCAGCCACACCAAGGTCCGGGAAGCGGGGACAGGAGGGAAGCAGGAGTGGAACAGCACCGTCCCCCTGCCCCTGCCGTGGGCTGGGGGGCCCGGGTCCCATCTCGTGCTCCCCACCCACCTCCCCTCCTCTCTTCCTAGCGGAGGAGCCCACTTTCCGCTGTGACGCCTGTGACGAGCTCTTCCAGTGCAAGACAGACCTGCGGCGCCACAAGAAGTACGCGTGCGGCTCGGTGGGGGCCCCGCTCTACGAGGGCCTGGCCGACGAGCTCAAGCCGGAGGGGCTCAGTGGCGGGGCGGGCGAGCAGGCCCACGAGTGCAAGGACTGCGAGCGGATATTCCCCAACAAGTACAGGTGCCGCCCCCCTCCCCCGCCACGCCCCTCCCCTCCCCCGCCACGCCCCTCCCCCAGCCTCCCGTCCCCCCAGGAGCAGCCCCCGAAGACTCATTCAGCCCTGATGGCACAGAGGGAAAGCTGGGAAAGACAGGGGTCTGTCCTTGTCCCTCAGCCCTGTCCACACTGACGCGCAAGGAACTCCAGGGACAGGTGGAGACAGGGTCCCCTCCCATGTGGCACACCTCAGGGCCAGGAACCTCCAGACGACTCATCCGGCATCAGGGACCCAGTAGGCCCCAGAGCTGCAGAGCACAGGGGATCCCGGCTCTGGCTATGAAGGCCAGGGCCCTAGTCCGAGCCCCAACCCCTAGAAGATCCACAAGGGGCTGGCAGAGATATCACTGGCCCAGCCATTCTGCAGGCAGGGATGTCTCCATGGAGACAGGCTAGGAGGAGAGTGAGAGATGCAGGCCACACCCCGGGATGTGCAGGGTCGAGCCCCAAGGAGACTTCCGAAGCAGGGTCTGAGACTAGCAAGGGGGGGGCGGTGGCAGCACCCTGCTGCCTGGGGACCCGTGGAGTGACCTGACCCTCTGGACAGACAGGACTCCTTCTCACACAGTGTGCAGGGGCTCGCAGGAGCCACCCAAGGGTCCCTGATCCCCCACCCCAGGCACCGGCCTCTGCCCCCCACAGATGGACCCCAGCTGTCCTGGGAGGCTTCACAGCCACGGGCACGGTGAGCCAGGCCTGCTCTGCCGGCTGCACACGGTCAGCCTAGAACTGAGCTGAGCTGAACTGAGGCACGAGCTGGCCCTCCCCTGGGAAGTGGGGACCCCGAGGACTCATGGCAACCCGAAGGAAGGATGAACCTTCTGGGCTTTGTGGGGAGAGAGCCAGGACTGAGGTCCCAGCTCCAGGCAAGTCTGAAGGCTTTTCCGCGTGGGCCCCTCCTCCGGCCTCTGAGAATGTCTCTCGGATGGCCTGGCAAGGTCAGAGTAAAACCCCATCCGGTCACTAAGTGGCTGTGGTGTCACCGGGAACCGGACACCAATCCCACAGTGGCCTCCCCGGGGATGGGAAACCCTGCACCCCGAACAGATGACAGAGAACATGAGCATTTGGGCGAATCCCGGCTGAGGCCCTCTGCGGTAAGCGCAGCTCAAGAGGGTCCGTGTTTTCTTTACATAAACACATAAATCACAATTAGCAACAGGGAAAAAGATTCAGTCCGGTAGTGCTCCAGAACCGAGCGCTTCTGATGGGAACGGATGGCTGGGCCCGTAATTAACGGGCCGTGATGTATTGCTGCTTTGCTCCCGGAGATTAACGGTCACACCTGGGACAGGAGGGGGAACAGGACGTCCCCCAAGAGGAGGGGGTCAGGAGCTGCTCCTTCATCCAAGTGCAGCCGCCCCTGCCCAGCAGCTGGGCTCTCCCCACCTTATCGGGCCCCAGTGGGAGACCCACCCGCTCGTCCCCGGCCCACCTCCCTGGTGTGTATGCGGTGAGGGGGCCAGGGCTGGCCTTGGGTTTCCTGCGCCCCGCTCCCACTCCGGGGCTCAGGGCAATGTCCGCAGCTTCAGCGCCCCTTTTCCGAGGCCCAAGGTCAGCCTCAAGGTTAAGATCATCTTGAAGAGCAGCCGGGCATTGTGAGCTGGGGTCCTGCCTGGCTTCTGGCTGCCTGGAGGAGTGGTCTTGGAGGAGGGCCCGGCTTCTGCCCCCTGTGCGGTGGGAGGGCCGTCTCTGCCCCTCCGTCCCGCTGGCCTGTCTGGAGAGGAGGTGACCAGACCCGCTGCAGGGACTCCCTCTCCTCTCCAAGCGGGCAGGGGGCCGGGGGCTGCTAGTCAGTGAGGCAGGCGGGCGCCCAGTGATTCCTGTCCCCGTCCGCGTGCAGCCTGGAGCAGCACATGGTTGTGCACACAGAGGAGCGGGAGTACAAGTGTGACCAGTGCCCCAAGGCCTTCAACTGGAAGTCCAACCTCATCCGCCACCAGATGTCCCATGACAGCGGCAAGCGCTTCGAATGTGAGAACTGCGTGAAGGTAACCGGCCCTGCACCTGCGGCTCAGCCCGCGCCCCGCCCCGCGGACACGCAGGCGAAGTGGGCAGAGCCCGTAAGAGGCCGGAAGCCCTTTGGGTCTCGGGTTTGCCCGGGAAGGAGGAAGAAGCACAGGTCACACAGCTTGGGAGGAGGTCAGGGAGACCAGACGTTGTCTTCTCTGCCCCCACCTGTGTGTCCGAGCTCGTCCACCTAAAAATGCGTTCTGGGCTCCCGCTTTTACGGCCGCAGCTCCCCTAGGCGTCCTGTTGGAGACACAGAGTCTGTGGGAGGCGTGGCAGCTCCCCTGAGGTCATGGGGCGGGTCATCCTGAACGCAGAGACCATCCCGGCCAGGCTCAGCAGCAGTGAGAGCCCCACCCAGGGGCCAGAACTGGGCCGACAGGGGAGTGAGTCCTGACGTCTGTCCCCGCAGGTGTTCACCGACCCCAGCAACCTGCAGCGCCACATCCGCTCCCAGCACGTGGGAGCCCGTGCTCACGCATGCCCTGACTGCGGGAAGACGTTCGCCACCTCTTCGGGCCTCAAGCAGCACAAACACATCCACAGCACGGTCAAACCTTTCATATGTAAGTGGTCCCCACCCCCACCGGCCGCCCCTCCCCCTCCACTGCCTCCCTGTTCCCAACCCGGCCTCCCCCCATCCCCATCGGCCTCCATCAACAGTCGTCGGAGGCTAGGTACAGGTGGGAAGTCCCCGGGGTCTCCCCTCTGCTGGACCCCTCCTTGCTCAGAAACCTCTGCCAGGTAGGGCCCAGGGTCCGGACCCCCGCCCCCGGGACCGCCTCGTCCCCACCCTGCTCTGCCGCACCTGCTCTCCTGGTCACCCATCTCTCTCTTGCTGGGGTCTCCTTCTCTCCTCCTGCTCTACCTGGCTCCTCCCCATCACTTACCTCCACAATGGCCAGAGGGGGTGGTGAGAGGTGGGGAAGGACCATTTCGGCCTCCTGGGTCCTGTGGAAGGAGCCCGCAGTCCACCCGCCCTGCTCCGTCTACTCTCCCCGGCACCCACACCCCAGCCTGAGCTCTGGGAGGCATAGGAATCCCAGCGGCACCGCTGAGCCCTGCGCATCCCCACGGCAGCCTTCAGGGCACCTGTGTACCCCTGCACGGCCCGGGCAGCAGGCGCCAGCTGTAAATGCCCTGTGGCCACAGCACCTACGTACAGCGCAGGAGACAGGCTAAGCCGCACGCACAGTCACGGCGCACGGGCCCCGCCTGTCAGCCCGGAGGCGGTGCCACAAGGTCCGGAGGTTCTCCGAGCACCCGGGTCGGCCCGGGGGTCCGGGCCCCGTGAGCACAGCGGGAGCCAGGACGGCTTGTCAAAAGAGCAGCAGTCCAGCGGAGACCAGGAGGAAGGGCAGATGGGAGCCAAGGGGGCGCCTGCGGGACGGGGGTGCTCGGGCGGGGACAGGAATAGAGGGAGCTTGAGGCCGGCACATTTGGGGGAACACGTGAGGGGGACAGTAGAAGAGTGGACAGAGGTGACAGGGACCCGGGCTTGGGGGCCATGGGAGCCAGCGCAGGGGCGTGTACCTTATTCTCGGTGGGTCTGGAAGCCACAGAAGAGTCTTTTCTACCCGGGAGCTGACAGTCATACGAGATTGCGCTGAGCCGTAATTTCATATGATTTGCAGGGTCATCCTCCCCACGAGGTCACTCAGGGTCACCATCCCCACAAGGTCACGCAGGGTCACCGTCCACTCGAGGTCATTCAGGGTCATCATCCCTACGAGGTCACATGGGGTCACCACCCACACGAGGTCACACAGGGTCGCCGTCCCCACAAGGTCGCACAGGGTCGTCATCCACATGAGGTCACATGGGGTCATTGTCCACATGAGGTCATACAGGGTCACCATCCATTCGCGGTCATGTGGGGTCACCACCCCCACAAGGTCGCATGGGGTCACCATCTCCATGAGGTCACACAGGGTCACCGTCCCCACAAGGTCACGTAAGGTCACCATCCCTGCAAGGTCACACAGGGTCACCGTCCACACAAGGTCATGTGGGTCACCATCCCCAGGTCGTGCAGGGCCATCACACGAGGTCACATGGGTCACCGTCCCCAGGTCGCGCGGGGCCATCACACGAATTCTGCTGAGTCGTCACCTCCCGGGAGCTTGTGCGGGTTGGTCACCTGGGTCATGGGGGGTCGTCCCACACACCATCTCACAGCGGACTTCAAAATCCAACCAAGGAGGGGCCGCACTGTCTCCACCTGACAGAGGAGACTGAGGTCATAGACATGAAGTGACCAGGTGCTCATGCCACGCTGCGGAGCAGGGACTCTAGCCCTGCCCTGGCCCCAGGGCCTGGATGAGGGGCTGGGACCCCTCGGACCCCATGGCATCAAGGGGCTGGGCTTGGGGTGGTTTCCTGCTGCCATTCCGCTGTAGGACACCTGCCGCAGAGACCACATGCCGACTGGCCGGTCCGGCCTTTGTTGCGTGGCTGGGCCGTGCCCTCCTCCTACCCTCTGTCTCCAGCCCAAGCTTCCAGTGCCCTGCTGGAGATGACCGAGAAACCAGTGTTCCTGGGTCACCAGCCCCGTCCCTGGTCAGCGGCAGGTTCTAGAGGGAGAGGGTGAGCGGTGATGCCACAGGGCCTGGTCCCTCGGGGAGGGGGTCAGGAAGCGGCAACGTGGCTAAGGGTGGGAGCTGGGGGCTGTGATGGGGACCAGAGATGTGTGTCCTGCTTTCTGTGCGTGAGGGTCCCCGGAAGTCCCACCATGGGGCCTCAGATGATAGCCTGGGGTTTTGAAGTGAGCTCAGGAGCAGGAAATTGTATAAACAGGTTCAACGGTCACTGCCTCGCTGGGCACCTAGACACAAGGTCCTGTGGTCTCCTTGGAGTGAAGTCTCCTTGGAGGGTGTTTGATAACGGAAGTTCCAGGAACCATGGTGCTCTGCCAGGCCCCGAGCCCAATGTTTCCACGGCCTGCACAGAGGCTGCACGTGGACGAGCAGAGCACAGGGGGCACGGCCCCGCCCCGGCCGTGTGGCACACTCACCAGGGTGTCTCAGCTTTTGGCTAACAGGTGAAGCTACAGAGAAAACCCCAGGCGTGGCCAGGTGGCCTGCAGGACATGTCATTCGGATAGGGTGGCACAGATTTCAGAAAGTGGGCATGTGAGATGTGATGGGCACGTCCTGCAGGCCACGACCGAGTGTGCTTTGGGCCGCTGTCAATGGCCATGCTGGGCTTGGGAAAACAGCTCTGCCTCCCAGTGCGTGGCCCCTTGCAGGACAAACGGGTGGCTCAGAGGGCACAAGCCCATGGTGACACCGTCACTAGTGCACACAGATGGAAGCCCCCTCAGATCTGCACTACAACCCAGCTAGAAGCCTGAGCCCGCCCCTCACTGAGCGCACAGCCGAGGCCGCGCTCTCTCCTAGGGGCACCTCTCGCACTGGGGGCCGGGTGTGTGCGGGGGCGTGCGGGAGGCACGTGGGCGGTCAGCCTGCTTGTGGGCTCTCCACAGAGGACATGCTCTAGAGTGAGTGTGTGTGCATCCAGCCGCTGGCCCCACAAGGACAGGAACTGCTGGGGGCAGTGGGTAGGGCCCCTCTGCCAGGTGCTGCCCTTGCGTCTAGGGCCCTGGGCAGCCAACCTCTCTCTGCCATCTGTGAGTGGCTGGCGTTCCGGGTCCAGGACCTGTCTGATCTGTCTGTAGCCCCAGCACTTCTGCCAGACCCCTCCATCCTATGAGCAAAGGGCTGGGCCCTGAGGGTCCCAGGCTCCCCACCACAAGGCACGGTGCTGGCCCAGGGGCCCTTCTGGGAGCTGCCCCAGGCGAGGGCCCTGGTTGGGGACAGTTTCCAAGCTCAGGTTGGCCGCAGCCATGAACCAAGCCCTGGTGAGCTGGGCCAGGGTTGCAGTGAGGGGTCACATGTTTGGCCAGTGAGGCCTGAGCCGAGGAAAGGCCTGGCTGCCCCGAGACCCGGTGGGCAACCTGAGTCTATTTCTAGACCGGCCATGGGGCTCAGCTCCCCTGGGTCAGCCACCTCCCAAAGAAGGTGGGTTTGATCTGAGAAGGCCGCACTTTCCCCCCTCAGCCTTGAGAACGTCCCACCACGTGGACGATGGGGAGGCAGGGCCCTTAGCATGCGTAGATACCGCGCTGAGAGAAGCGGGTGACATGGGGCCGGAGCGCCGGCGCGAAGAGTGGGACAGCGGGCAGTCGGGACCGGTGATGGGTGAGAGACAGGAGCGAGCCGCCGTTCCCACGGGCTGCACCTAGGAAGCTAGTTGTCCTGCGGAGATACGCATGCAAGTGTGTGAGCGTGAGTGTGCGTGTGTGGTCCTCCCTTTCTGGTTAGAAAAACAAGAAGAGAAAGAAAGAAAAGCTGGTGTTTCGCTGACAACCTTGAACTCGCCCGCCACGGGGGACACGGCCAGGCGGGGTCCCCGAGGCCGCTGGGGCCTGGTGTTCAGCTCTGGCTGGCACTGCCCGCCCCTCCCGTCAAGGGCAGAGGCCGGTGCCCATCAGCCTGAGCCTGGCTCACTTCTGCGTCCCGATCTTGGGGGGCTGCACTTCCCTCAAACACGCCCCCAGCTTCGAGCCAGGCCCAAACAGTAGGCAGCGCACAGCACCAGGAGCCGTGCTCCCAGGCCCAGATACCCCGACTAAGAATCCCTGAGCGGCCGGTCACTCCGAGGCCCCCTCCCAGGACAGAAAGCGGGAGTGCTCTGGTCGTTGGTGTTTCCTCTCCCCACTGGGACAGCGCCACGCAGGGGGTCAGGGAGTGGCAGGGAACTCTGGGGGACTGGAGCAGGTGCACACATGGCCACACGCTGTGGCTCCGACCCCTGGGGAGCGATTTCAGGAGACCTGGGCCCCCACGTTGCAAACACTGCCGGGACGACTGGCGCAGAGAGCAGACGCGCCCTGGCTTCTGTGTGGAGGTTGAGGAGCCTGAGATCGGTCCAAGTGGGCAGGCGCGGGTGATCGTCACTAGTCTGCTGGCCCCTGAAGGCCAGCCCAGGGTAGGGTGTGCACACACAAACACGTGTGCACACGCATGCAGGCACATGTGCAGATGTGCGCACACACGAAACGCACGTGCACGCACATTCATGACATGCATACGTGCGTGTGCCTGTGTACACGTACACACAGGCATGTGAGCAGGCACAGAGACACATATGTGAGCACACCTACACGTGCATGCACACACGTGTGCCCATAGGTGCACTTGCACACATCCAAGAATTGTGCAGATGCATATATGTGCACACCTACACCCACGAGCCCATAGGTACAGGCATACACGTGCAAACAGGCGTGCAGACACTTGTGTGCACACCCACACGCACGCACACGTGCAGACGGCTCGGGATCGCGGGCCCGCAGCACCCAGCCCCCCTCCCCCCGCACAGTTTCCCGGTAATTTCATACCGTGTTTGTGTTTGCTTCCTGCTGATGCTTTAGGTGAGGTCTGCCACAAATCCTACACCCAGTTCTCCAACCTGTGCCGGCACAAGCGGATGCACGCTGACTGCCGCACGCAGATCAGGTGCAAGGACTGCGGACAGATGTTCAGCACCACCTCCTCCCTCAACAAACACCGGCGCTTCTGCGAGGGCAAGAACCACTACACGCCAGGTGGCGTCTTTGCCCCGGGCCTGCCCTTGAACCCCAGCCCCATGATGGACAAGGCGAAGCCCCCCCCCCGGCCTCAACCACGCTGGCCTGGGCTTCAGCGAGTACTTCCCGTCCAGGCCGCACCCGGGCAGCCTGCCCTTCTCAGCGGCGCCCCCCGCCTTCCCCGCCCTCGCTCCGGGCTTCCCGGGCATCTTCCCCCCATCCCTGTACCCCCGGCCACCGTTGCTACCTCCCACACCACTGCTCAAGAGCCCCCTGAACCACACCCAGGACGCCAAGCTCCCCAGCCCCCTGGGGAACCCGGCGCTGCCCCTCGTCTCTGCCGTCAGCAACAGCGGCCAGGGCGCCACGGCCGCCACGGGACCCGAGGACAAGCTCGAGCATCGCCTAGAGGACTCCTACGCTGAGAAGCTCAAGGCGAGAGGCAGCGACGTGTCGGACGGCAGTGACTTTGAGGACGTCAACACCACGACAGGGACCGACCTGGACACAAGCACGGGCACGGGCTCGGACCCGGACAGTGACGTGGACAGCGACCGGGATAGGGCCAAGGACAAGGGCCAGGCGGCGGAGGGTGAGCCCGAGCGCGGGGGCGGCGCAGCGCCTCCAGGGGCCCCGAACAGCCTGGGCGAGGCGCCCGTCTTCTACTCCCAGCACGCCTTCTTCCCGCCGCCAGATGAGCAGCTGCTGGCGGCCCCCGGCACCGCAGGCGACTCCATCAAGGCCATCGCCTCCATCGCAGAGAAGTACTTCGGCCCCGGCTTCGTGGGCATGCAGGAGAAGAAGCTGGGCTCGCTGCCCTACCACTCCGTCTTCCCCTTCCAGTTCCTGCCCAACTTCCCCCCCGCCCTCTGCCCCTTCGCGGACCGCTCCCTTGCCCACAACTTGCTGGTCAAGGCCGAGCCGAGGTCACCCCGGGACGCCCTCAAGGTGGGCGGCCCCAGTGCCGAGTCCCCCTTCGACCTCACCACCAAACCAAAAGAGGCCAAGCCCGTGCTGCCCGTGCCCAAGGCGCCCCCGGCCCCGGCGTCCGGGGAGGAGGAGCCGCTGGACCTGAGCATCGGAGGCCGCGCCCGAGCCGGCCAGAACGGAGGGGGGCGAGAGCCGCGCAAGAACCACATCTACGGGGAGCGCAAGCTGGGGACCGGGGACGGGCTGCCCAGGGCGTGCCCGGCACAGCTGCCCCAGCAGCCGTCCCTGCACTACGCCAAGCCGTCGCCCTTCTTCATGGACCCGATCTACAGGTATTAACACGCCCCGCCTTCACCTGCTCTCCCAAGGGCCCTCGAGCCGGCCAGGCGGCAGCGCTGACAGCTGCCGGACCTCCCAGCCTCCCCTCCGACCCCACCCGGGTCCCCCTCTGTCTGCAGCCACCTTCTCCCGACAAACCCTGCCTCCTCCCAACCTTTCCTCTGTTCCCAGCGCCTGCACTTCCCCAAGGCCACCCTGGGGGGCCCTACCAGCCCCTGGAGCCACAGAGGGGGTTTCCGGTGGCCCAGCAGAGAGCAGAGTCTCCAGAGGGGAGGACAGGGAGGAGGAGGTGGGGCTCTGGAGGGTTTGCAAACATCAGCCCCAGCCCTTTGGTAGCTTTGGGCCAGCTGAATCCCTCCCCTCCCCCGTCTCTGGGCCAGCTTAGATCAGGTGGGTGTATTAGGTGGGAGGGGTCTCGCCTACGGGTGCTATGCCTCGGGCTGAGCCTTGAGGAGAGAGGGCTGTGCCCGTGGTGGGCCTTGGGAGGGAGGCCTGGTGGGGCGGGAACCGTGCCCGGCTGGGGCAGGGGCCTGCGTGCAGACACACGTGCGTGTACACCCCGTGTTCAGGGAGCACGGGAGCACGAGGCCTGCGTTCCCAAGGGGCCAGCAGCAGCCTGGTGGTGGGCGTGCGGGTGGGGAGCCCAGATCCTCGAAGGTGCACGTGGGACAGGATGATACCAGCAAGACAGCCACCGGGTGGGGGGTGGGCGGAGGAGAGGCCAGGCCAGGTCCTGCCCACTGCACTCAGCAGTGGGTCTAGGGGCCATGGGCTGAGGAGGCGATGCCTGTGCCCCAGCTTTGCCCGTAGACACCCGCAAGATGTCCGAAGGCAGGGTCGCCCCACATCATCTCCCTGCACACAAGCCCATCAAGAGAAACAAGAATGGGCGTTTGAAGGGCTCTCCCCAGGCAAAGCTGTGGGTGACCCCATCTGCCTGGAAGCAGGCTGGCCCCTGGGGCTAGGGGTGGGGACCCTCCCCTACTCCCGGGGGACTCCCGGGAAACCCCGCACTGTGCCCACAGGCCAGCCCCCAGATCCTGTTCCCTTCACACACATAACCCACCGTCCTCCATTCCCCGGGTTTAGGGAACCCTAACACCGCCAGGCTTCAGAGCAAGATGCCCGCCAAGCCAGCCTCCCACACAACCAACACTGCCTATCCAGGAGAGGACCCTCCCAGCCTCCCCTCTCCCTCTCCCTCCGTCCAGGCTGGGGGTCCTGCGGGGCTCCTCCCAGGGGCTGTGTTGTCTTCTTGCGGCTCACGCTCCACTCCATCCCCCACACACTCCGTCCTGCGCTCCCGCTGTCCCAGCCAGGCCCTGGTGGGAGGCCATATTAGAGCGAGGCCCTCATGCGGTCCAAAGGGAGCGGCTGGTGTAGGGCGTGCTCAGAGGGGCCGTGTCTGCCTGCGGGGACGTGGCCGGTGTCCCCAGACGGCACTTTGTGACTCTCTGCCTCCGCGAGGAGACTGAGGCTGGCGTTGCCAGGAGGGCTCTCAGGACCCGCCCCGGCCACTTTCTCTGTGCCGTGCGGAGTTGTCGCCAGCGTTTGGAAAACATTCTAGAATCATCCTCTCCAGCTGCCCTTGTGAGGGTTTAGGTAGACCCTACCTAGCCACCACAGGGAGGCCCCGGCGACCCCCTGGGGAGACTCGTGGGGGTCCAGGCCCCAGTGTGGTGACTGGGAGCACGTGCAGGTTGTAGAGCGCACGATCAGGCAGGGGCAGGCTCGGAGGCCGTGGAGCTGCAGGTGGGCTCCGTCACTGTCAGGTGAGATGTGTCAGGTGAGACACAGTAATCGGGGGCCACGGAAGCAGGGGCCCCTGCCCCATGACTGGGGGCTCAGGGGACACCGTCCCTGCTCAGCCCCGGGCGGCTCGGTGAGGTACGTAACCCTCGGTGTTGTTGTCCAGCAGGGTGGAGAAGCGGAAGGTGACGGACCCCGTGGGAGTCCTGAAGGAGAAGTACCTGCGGCCGTCCCCGCTCCTCTTCCATCCCCAGGTAAGGCCCCGGGGCGCCAAGCCTGCTGGGGGGGCGCCAAGCCTGCTGGGAGGGCGCGCCTTGGGACCCCAATGCTGGGGCCTTCCAGTAGGGCCGCCCAGGCAGGCTGGTCTCTGCAGGGGGCTGGCCCCGAGCGCCCATCCAGGCAGACCTCAGCCTCCCTGCCTGTCAGAGGCCCACAAGGATTCTCTCCCACAGCCCTTACGGGTCACCACGAGGCCGAAGAGGGTGAGAAGGGCCAGGACGTGTGACAACGGAGGGTGGTGCTCTGTGGGGCAGGCCCCTGGGTCCCTCGGAGGTGGCCCAAGACCCCAGACTGTGGGGTGCTCACCGACCACAGCGCAGGCTCTCGGAGGGGCAGTGAGCGTCAGCAAGGCAGTGGACAAAAGCTCAGATGCAAGGAGTCCAAAAACCTGGAACGTGGGGGACAGATGTGAGCAGCACAGGTGTGAGCAAGATGCTTACAAAGGACCGGGAGCTCGGGGACCTGAGCGCAGCAGGCACGGGAGGGGGCACAGGGGGTGGGGAACAGGACAGAAGCAGATGGTTGGCCCCAAGGACAAAGGGTCTCAGGAGGTGGTGGGCAGGAGGGCCCCCTCCCCCACAGCTGCGGGGCGGGCAGGGCTGACCACTAAGACTAAAGTTGGAGCTCTGGGAAAGAGAACCCCCAAGTCTGGGCCGTGGCCACACACCCCACCTATAGGCACCCGTGTCCAGCCCCCGGCCTTGTCCCCACAGGGTGTAGGCACCGAGATGCCGCAGACACGGGGATGGGCAGCAGAGCCGGGCAGAGGCTCCCTGGTTCTGCCTGGGGGCCCAGCTGTGCCCCCTCCTCAGGACCCCGCCTTCTCCCCAGAGCCACAGTCTCCCCCATCCCCACTTGGGGATCCTGGGAGCCGAACTGTGGGATGCCCTGAGCCAGACTCCGGACCAGGCCATTGTTCTCCGTGTTTCCCACCTTGGACACACATCCCCAGGTTGTGAAACCTGCCCCTGCCTGGGTTCACAGCTAAACTTAGTGCCTCCCATTGTTTCGCTGGGGCTGTGGGCTTTGCTTAATAACTTCCCCCGATTTTCCTCGGGTCAGGCTGGAAAAAGCCGACAAGGCCACCAGGCACATCCTGTGTTTGTGTTTGTGCAGGAGCCGGGCTGGGAGTACCGGGGATATCAGCTAGGGCAGAGCGGGCTGGGCGGCCGGACCTGGGCGGCCTCAGGGAGACCCACCCAGGCCTAAGGAGGGGAGGCCTGGCAGGGGGCCGGCGGCCCATTGTCCCTCTGCCCGCTCCCCCCGGCCCTGCTGCCCCTACTGCCTGCCCCTGGGCCCGAGCACGGGGCACAGGGAGGGGAGGAGGACTAGGAGGTCACCCAATTAAGTGGTCTGAGGTCAGGCCGTCACTTGGGCACGAAGACCGATGGGCTCTACGGAGCACAGGGCCGCTCCTCGTGATGTCAGCGCACGGCGGCCCCCAGGTGCTAGGCAGGACTTTGCCAGGGCCTTCGGTTTGGGAAGCCTGACACACGTGTGCAGCCCCGGGGGACAGGGCTGGCCCCTCAGCACTTCTGGAGCTCCAGGCAGTCTCTGTGTGGAGAGTTCCAGAACCTTCTAAGGCTGTGGCTAAGACTGAGACAGAGCCAGGTGGGCAGAGGCGCTGACACACCCGGGGTCCCCATCGTCCTGGCCGTGGAGGAGCCACCGCCGAGGCGTGAGACAGCTGCCCTCAGCCCATCAGCAGGGACAGGGTGGGCAGCACAGGCGGGCAGCGTGTGTCTGAGGACGGCACAGGCACGCCCCGGGGGACAGAGCGGAACAGCAACCCCTGCCCTGTCCTGGTCCCAAACCCCGAGCCCTCAGGGACAGGCGCCGTCTGGGGCTCTGATCACAGCTCTGCCTGCCAGGTGGAAATGGCTAGGCCGCACCCCCAAGTCCTCCCCGAGCAAGCCCTCAGCGTCTCCAAGACCTGGAGAGGTGGCTCCTCTTGTCCTTGTCACCACACCCCACGCTGCGTCCCGTGGGCCTCCTGCTCTGGCAGTTCAGCTGGCAGCATCTGGCCCTGGGCTGCGGGACCCCTGGAGAACTCTGCCGGCAATCATGGCCCAGACCCGCGGACGCTTTTAACCCGGAATGCAGGGAGTTGCCTTATTCCAAGAGACACAGACAGACAGAGAGACAGACAGAGAGAGGAGAGAAGAGCAGAAAGTGATTCTGTCCAGGAGTGTCAGGCCAGCAGGATGGTGCTGGGGGGTTCCCAAATCTGGGGACTGCCACCGCGAGGCTGCAGGCCGCCCCCGCCCCACAGGCCCCCGGACAGGCAGAGAGGCGAGCTGGCGGAGGCTGGTTCCGGCTCCCCCGGCCTGGGCCCCGGGCTCACGCGGGGCTTCCCGGAAAGGACAGGGCAGGGCTGGGCGCAGGAAGCAAGAGTGTCCGCCGGGAGGCCAAGAAGCCCCGGAGAGGGCTGGCTGCACCCCAGCCCCGAGCCTGCGCGAGCTTCTGGCCCTGGCCCTGGCCCAGCGGGGGACGTGCCTGGCCCCAGGGTACTCCAGGGGGGTGTCGGGGGGTGAGGCCAGCCTCCTCAGGAGGACCCACCGTCTCTCCCACTCTCCTGCCAGCAGATGTCCGCCATCGAGACCATGACAGACAAGCTGGAGAGCTTCGCGGCCATGAAGGCGGACTCGGGCGCCTCCCTGCAGCCCCTCCCCCACCACCCCTTCAACTTCCGGTCCCCGCCCCCCACTCTCTCGGACCCCATCCTCAGGAAGGGCAAGGAGCGCTACACCTGCAGGTGAGGCAGGCGTGGGGGCTGGCGGGCGGCCCCGGCCAGGCAGTCACAGGGCTCACGCTGTGGCCGTGAGCTCGGGCTTCCTGGAAGAACCATGACAGCCACGGCACAGCGTGGTGGCAGTCACCAGTCTGTCCACCGATGGCAGTCATTCGCGGTCCACGTGTGTGTGTGGGCCCGAAGTCCCCTGCCCCAGCGGGCCGTGTTCCCGCGAGCACCAGGACACGCAGCCTTAGCCTAGCCAGTCAGAACCTGGAGGGCCTGAGGCCGAGGGGGACTGGTCCCCGTGTAACCAAGGCCCCAGAGTCAGGTGAAAGCCTGGTATCCCGGCGTCCATCCCCAGCTGCACGAGCCTGTCCTAGCGGGGGCAAGCCAGCTCAGCCGCCCTCCGGCTGCTCAGGGAAGGGGCCCTGCCCCAGCAGCCAGAGTCGGTGGAGCCCGCCTGCCCCCCCGGTATGGGGCCTCAGGCCTAGACCCCAAGTCGGAGGAACCACATCAGGAAAGCATACAGGCGCCAGAGTCTAGCCGTACAACAGCCTCACGACCCCCCCGCCCCTCCACCCCAGGTACTGTGGCAAGATCTTCCCCCGATCAGCAAACCTCACGAGACACCTGAGGACACACACCGGGGAGCAGCCATACAGGTAGGAGCCGGCAGCCCTGTGTCCGGTGAGACAGAGAGGGTGGGGTGGGAGCCGGCACCCCTGTGTCATGTGGCTCCTTGGCCCCCTGCTGACACCACAGCCATCCTGGGCCCTGGGGCCTTCTAGAGATTAGGCAAGAGCTGCCCAAGGGGGCTTCCTGAAGTCTTGCCCGCTCCCAGAGTGGGGTGCCCGGGAGCGGCTGCCCACCTGCCGCTGTCGCCTGGGGCAGGGCATTCAGAGCAGCACTGGCCAAAGCCAGGGCCCAGGGTGGGCTGTTGGGGATGCCTCGCTCCACCCCCTCCCTGCTCAATGCCTTGATAGTGGCCAGTGGGCCAGGGCGGGTGCCTAAGGAAGGGCAGGCAGTGGTAAAGGAGATCCGTGCAAATTCGGGTCCCAGCCCAGGGTGGGGTGTCCTGAGAGGTTCACCTGCCAGCCCTGGATGGAAGCCACGTGTCTGCTCCCCTCCTGTCCCCTCCATGCTGGGCTTCTGCCTGCAGAGATGCAGCTGGACCGCAAGTCCGTGAGGGAGCTGCCCCCCTTTCCTGTTCCCAAGTGGGGAGACGGAGGCTCAGACCGTGACCGGCCCCAAGTCAGTGTTTGCGGCGGCTCCAGCAGCCCCTTCTGCTCACACAAGAAGCAGATCCTGCTCCTTGGTCTGGGGCTCCCGGGGGGCCTTTGTCAGGCAGAAGGCTGGGGTGACAGGGACCCCCCCCAGGGAGGGGCCTGAGAGTTGGCATTTTCAATGAGAGCCCCAGGTGGTGGTAGACCAGGGGCAAGTCAGGGAAGGTGCTGGTTTAGATGCCACGACCTCACCCCGGGTGTGCCCAGTCCGGTGAGCGGCCGTCGCTGGGAAGAAGGAGCTTAGCATGGCTTTAGGTTGGCGGCAGGAGACGGCTACAGTCTGGCCATATAGAGGCCCCCGCTAGCCTCACACTCAGTGTGCGTCCCCGTCCCTGGGGAGGCCGGCCACATGGGGAGCCCGCCGGAGCTGTGGTCCTATGCCCCCCCCCCAGATGTAACAGGCGCCCCGACGCCACAGGGCCGCGTCCTCTACAGAGCTGGGTGCCCCCACGGGCCCCCCACCCCCACCCCCAAAAGTGGCTTACAGCTCCACAGAGGCTCGCAGAGGAAGGACGGACTTGGTCCGGCCTCCTGCCTGAAAATGAGAACAGCCTTCTGGACGGTGTTGCGCGTGGGAGCCCCCAGAGGGTCGGGCTGTGTTTATAGAAGAATTTAATTACCATTGATTTCTTTTGCTCTCTCCAATCTGTGAGTTTCAGCTTGCATAACAATAATTGCTTTGAAAGTTTGCGTTGCAAATCCTGACTTTATCTGGCTCGGGGCAGCCCTGAGATGGGGAGTGTGGTGCTTGTGACTTCTTCTGCCATCCGGCTCACTTGGGTCATTGGAAGAATTTAAATTGGAAGAAGAAAGTTCGCCCGTCGTCCGCCCATCCGTCCACAGAAACAGGCCGTCCCGGGGACAGGCCCCACCAAAGGGGAAAGCCCCCACCCCCGGGGAGGCCGATTCGCCGCGCCTGCTGCTGGCCTCTGAGCTCAGCTCCAGGCCGGCCCCACTTGTGCCCGCCACCACGTGCACCCGAGGCCCCTCGCGAGCCGGCTGTAGGGTGACAGTCAGACAGCCCGGGACACTCTTCCTTTTCCATCCTTGCCTGAGATTATGTGAAATCGCTTAGAACGTCTTCCAAAGCCCCGATTCCAGGCGAGAAAGCCCCTTCCATGTGACCAATGGTTTGCTTCCTGGAGAGAAGGTCAACTCTCCTGCCAGGCCCGCTGTCCTCGGCTAACGGCTTCTCCAGCTTAGAGATCCTGGCCTCAGGCTGGGAGACACGGTGCAGCTGAACACACTCAGTCCCTAACACTGGGGCAAGGAGGGCTTGTTACGATGTGGGCTGGACAGACAGAAGTCCGGCCTCAGCAGTGAGGGGGCTGCTTCTCGCCTCCTTCCTGGAGGCCACGCCCGGGGTCCCTCCGGGACACTCCTGGGCAGGGCCGTGGCCACGTTCTGGACACGCGCCTTTGCGGGCTGGCCTCCGTGCTCCTGCGGGATGTGAGGTTCTGACTTTGGGGACACACGACTCTCCCTCTGCGGCTCGTTTCCTCCCCGTGAGCGAGGCCCCATTCCCCTTCCTCTGGTGGCCCAAACCTGTCCCTCTGCTTTCTAGCTCTGTTTTTCAGGGCTGGATTTCAAAAATGTCTTTTCTTCCCTTGCCCTGCACTCCCTGGGACAGCTGGTGTGGCCCGGCTGGGTCCCGGGGAGGACGCTGCGCCCTCCCCCGCCCCGTGCTGGCCACCCCCACTTCGCTGGCTTCCCTGGGGGGGTGGGGGGTGCCTCGGTCACTGCAAGGTCCTCTCAAGGCCCTCCTCTGCCAGCGCGGCCGGCCACTCCCCGTCGCAGGGACCGCAGTGCCGTGCCGTTTCTCGCAGCAAGGCCATAAATTCCCCCGGCCGCTTGTCAGCGTGTTTACGACGCAAATCCCAGCTGCTCTGAGAACTCGGCTCCTGGAAGCCCGGGCTCACTGCTCCCCTAAGTCTCAAATGGGCTTCTTGGTCTGGGCCATTGATTTAGATCAGAACCGGCAGAGGGCCACACTCCCGTCTCTGCGGGAGCAAATTGAACGTGCGGCTCCCCCTGCCCCCCTCCAGCCCCACGGAGACTGGAAAGAGAGCCCTGTTTCTGGTCACAGGAAACAACCCTGTGCAACCCCATCTTCTACTCAGGCCTCCGACCGTTTGGGGACCATGCAGCACTGTTAGGGGAACCTGTCAAAACCCTTCTGGCTTCCCGAAGAAACACGGCGGGGGTTGCTGTGCACGGGTTGGTCCTTCCTGAGCAATCGCCGTGAGGGGCAGGACGGTCATCTGGGAGCCTGACACCATGGGGGGCAAGGATCCGTCCGTGACGGAGTGAGACAGTGCGTCCTGGGACCTAACAGCCCTCCTTTCTGGCCCCTCATGTGGGGGAGCGCCGGGCTGCCAGGTTAGCCCGGCACCGCTGACCCCACCTCGAGGAGGCTCCCTGGATGGCGGTGCTCGCTGGGTCTGAGAACGTCAGGAGACGTGGGAAGAGAGGCCGTGACCAAAGCCCCAGGTTCCAGGGGCTAGAAGCAGCTTAACCAGGCCAACTCGGAGCGGGGCCGAGCACATGTGTGCCGGGGCTGAGCACACAGAAGGCAGAGGGTCGCTCGGGAGGAGGCCGGGAGCGCTGGCCAGGCTGCTCCTGACAAGATCTCAGACGCTCCCGGCCCCCAGCTGCAGAGGAAGCCAGAGTCAGCGAGGCCGCAGCCAAGGAGCTCCGGAAACTGAATGAGAGAGTGGGAGACCTGGGGCCCCTCTAGCAGGGCCTCCCTGTTCTCTGTGGGTCCATCGTCAGCCCCCAGGGGGCAATGAGGCAGGAGGTCAGCCTCCCCCGACAGTTTCACAAAGCTGCCCCTCAGGCGGAGAAAGCTCGGCTCCTGGCCCAGCGCTTGCAGTCCTGGAGGCCCCGCGCTGGTGGGGGCCTGCGTCTTCCTGCCTCAGGGCCCCCGGGGTGCACCGTGACTGTCCAGACTGCCCTCACAGAGGTCACGGGGCAGCGCCACGAAGGCTGCCTCACACAGGCCTGCTGGCCCAACCCGACACCGCCCTCCGGCACAGCTCGGACCCAGGGCGTGAGGCCGGGGTTCTGCGCTGAGTGATCGGGGTCGGGGGGCCTCCGGTGGGAACTCCCCGCCACCAGGTCAGGACCGGTCCCTGGCACCTTCCAAGCCGCACCCCGCACGCATGCGCCCTGCGGGGACCTGCTCCAGCCTCCTGTCCCGTTGCAGGAGCGTGTTTGGGCCCGTGGGCCCCTGTCGGCCAGTGAAGCCGCCCTGGCGAGGGCTGAAGCCCAGATACGCGCACACACGACACGTGTGCGCACGCGTGCACCGGACACAGCGGAGGCGCTCGGAGCCCCGGGGGCCGCTTTGGAGGCCGCGGGGCCTCGGCTCCGAGTTCCGCCACCAGGAGGCGCGGGCGCCCGGCGAGGCCGTGCGGACCCCGGGGTGCGCAGTCCTGTGCTGGGGCTCCCCGCCCCCCGCCGCAGGCTCGCGCTCTCCGGTTCTGGCTTCTTGGTGCGGATGGGTCCCTGCGCCGGAGGCCGGCCTCCCTGTCCCGCCGCCGGGGCCGGGGCTGCGAGCGGGCCGCGAGGGCCGCACCCCCGCGAGGCCCCACCCCAGCGGGCGCTGCTCCCGCCGCAGATGTCCTGTGGACACGACTGAAGCCGTCAGCGGAAGAAGCGTCTTTTTCAAATTTCCCGAGCGCACGGGCTGGCGGTCGGTCACCTTCACACGGGAGCGTAGGAGTGACGGATCTCGAGGCGCGCGGTGCCCTCGCCCAAAGGCTGTGGTCATTTGCCGTCCTTGGAACAACGGCGGCCTGATGGGTGGCGAGACGGGGAGCCCCCGCACCACCTTCCGGGGAGTTCCGACGCTGAAGAAGGCCCGGGCAGCCCCGAGCCCCCCCCCCCCCCATGAATTGGCTGTGGCTGGAGGACCCGCTGACAGGTCCCAGGCAGCTGCCCCCAAGCAGGGCGGGGCCTCTCGGTCAGGGAGGAACATTACCCCGAGCAGGTCTCCTCCTTGGGGGCGGTGGGCGCGGGGGACGCTCCCGAGGGTCTTTCCATGGTGCATGGCCGCCCCCTTGAGGCCGCTGGGGGCATGTGTCTTCCGACTGGGCCTCGGAGCGGGGACCCAGACGCAGAGGCGGGAGACTGCAGGCCGGGGAGGGTCCCCTGCAGCCGCACGGAACCGTCCACCCGCCTCCTTCACGTCAGTGGGCGGAGGACCGCTTCCTCCTGCCCCCGAGGGGCTTGGCGGGCTCAGCCTGCCGCCCTGGGGCAGCAGCGCCCTGGGAAACGGGGTGGGGGGCACCGGGGTCTCCGCCAGGATGCAAGTGGGGGCTCAGCCCTCAGGGCAGGGTCCGGGCTGCTCTGAGACGCGTGTGTTCTCCAGGTGTAAGTACTGTGACCGCTCCTTCAGCATCTCCTCCAACCTCCAGCGGCACGTGCGCAACATTCACAACAAGGAGAAGCCCTTCCGGTGCCACCTGTGCAACCGCTGCTTCGGGCAGCAGACCAACCTTGACCGGCACCTCAAGAAGCACGAGCACGAGCACGCCCCAGGTGCAGCCGGCTGGCAGCCAGACGCTGTGATGGGGTGGGGGGGAGACCAGGAGCTACATCGGGAAGAGACATCAGGTGGAAGTGCGGGGAGACAGAGAGGGGAGCAGAGAGGGGGAAGGGGAAGAGGGGAGGGGATGGGGAGACAGGGGACTGTGGGGAAGCCAGGGGAGGGGAAAGGGGAAAGGGGAAAGGAAGGGGGCGTGGGGAAGACAGGGAAAGGAGAGGAGGAAAGGGAGAGGAAGCCAGGGGAGGGGAGGGAGGGAAGAGGGAAACGAGAAATGCCCCTGCTCTGACGCTCCCCTCCCCCCGCACAGTGAGCCAGCACTCCGGGGTCCTCACGAACCACCTAGGGACCAGTGCCTCCTCCCCCACCTCCGAGTCCGACAACCACGCACTTTTAGATGAGAAAGAAGACTCCTATTTCTCTGAAATCAGAAACTTTATTGCCAACAGTGAGATGAACCAAGCAACAACACGAACGGATAAACGGTAAGAAATCGATTCCGGACCCCGAGAAGGCCTAGATCCAGAGCCCACCTGTGTGGCCACACCCAGAGGAGCACCTCTGCCAGCACTGGCCCCCAGGGTGCCCCCAGACGGGACTGGGGCCACAGCAGGGGGGAGACTGATGGGCATCCATTCTGTCCCCGGCTCTACCACCTGCAAGTGGCCTGGGGGAGGGGGTGGCACTTCAGCAAGTACTGCCCCCACCCCCCACCCCCGCCTCTGAGTCTGGGTCTGGACGGGCGAGCAGAGTAAGCATCCTGACCGATGGCAGGTGTGGCGCTCTGGGTGCCGCACCAGCATGTTGGCCTGGTTTGGCGTGGGGGTCAACGGTGGGCGGCAAAGTGCGGACCAGGCGAGGGCTCCCGCCGCGAACCCTCCTGCAGTCTGAGAGTCCAGACAATCTCCATTTAACCCGAGGCACTGAAGGCGTCCCAACAGGAATGTCACACACACACACATGCACACGAGACCACACGGGCACACACACACGTACACACATGCACGTGTATGAGAAGCCACAGGCACGCACACGTGTGCGCACACACGCACTCACACACATACGTGTGTGCACGAAACCACCGTGTGTACACAGGCGTGCACGCGCATGCACTGGCGTGTGTGTGTGCGTGCGAATCCACACGTGTGCACACGCATGCGCCTGTATACACACATGAAACCACGCGTGCATATACGGGTGCACGTGTGCACTCAATGCACGCACAACATGCCCGTACACGCACGCACACCGACACATGCACACCGTGACATGAAAACGGCGGAATTCACATTCGAGACGTAGCAGGTATCCTGCACAACCCTGGATCCCAAGGCTCAGCCAGGGAGGGGCATTTCCTCTGGGGGCCCTCGGGGGAGGGCGCTTCAGACCCCGCAGGAAGACATTCTCCTGGGTGAGCGCTGGTGCTAGACCAGCTGGCAGAAGATCAGAGGCTCTCCAAACAGCAAGAAGCCCTGGGGAGCAATCGCCTAATTCTGCAGCGGAAAACTGAGCCCAGAGAAGGTGGGGGGCCTTGCTCCAGCCATCAAGCCAGGCCCAGAACCTAACAGCCAGAGCCCCGCCCTTCGACAGATCTGTGCACCGCGCGCCCCCCCAGCCCCACCCGGCCCGGCTCCATGCCCACCCACCTCCAGCGAGGAAGGAGGGGTCTCAGCACACCCGGCTCCCTCCAGGACAGGCTGTGTTTTCGGTACTCCTAGGGGACAGGGCCGGGGGCACGGGGAAGTCTTGTTGAATTTATAAATGAAGGTGGCACTTGGACTTTGTCTGGGACCATCACATCCTAAGTCATGCCCCCCGGAAGGTGATCTTACCTGCTGGCCAGGTAGGGTCTGGGGTGGGCTCCAAGGAGGGTGTGGTGGGAGAGGCTGGCTGCGGGCTACTTCCCAGAGCCTGAGCCCCACTCGGCAGTGGGGATTCCGGTCCAGGTGTCACCTTGCCTGCTCTGCTGTGGACAGAGCGCCCCGTCCATCCCAAGCTGCCGGCACGCATGCCATGGTGTCACGGGAACCTAGATACCTGCCCCTCGGGGGAGGCATGGAGCCTGCATTCAGAGAAAGTCACAGATGTGAAGACCTGGGTGCCAGGCCTTATAGGAGCCCTGCAGACGGGCAACGAGACACAACCAGGCTGTTGAACACCATCCTTTGAACTGAGACTCCCTGCATCCAGGAGAGAGGCCGGTGAAGAACCTACAAGCATTTGCAAACGGCGTTCCCCATGGGAAGCTCGGTCCTCCAGGAGCACCAGTGAGGCCCTCACGCTCGCACCCAGGTGGCAGGCCCAGCTCTCCGCCATGAGGAAGAGGAGGCCTCTCCAGGAAACCCACTAGGACAGAGGGAAGAGGAGACGGCTCCACCCTGACCTTCACCGCGGAGCATCTAACTGGGGCTTTCCCGACAGCCCCTGGTGACGGTTCAGACAGGAGACCGGCCCCAGATCCCTCCGGAAGCCCCAGGGCAGAGCTGGCCACAAACCCAGGCCCTCAGATGGCCTATCCCGCTGAGGCCTTGTCCTGGGTGCTGGGGAGCCTCCAGGAGATGCCCCACGTCGTGGTCAGGAGCAAGAACCACGATCACAGGTGACATGGATCCATCAGTCTGTGTGAAGTGGTGAGACGTTTGGGGCCAATGTCGACCTTATCCAGTTCCCCTCTCAATCAGTTTCCTTCTGTTGACCATCAAGGAGAATTTAGGGACAGGCAGGCTTCCTGGTCCTATAACCTCTTTAACATCTGAGCTGAATTTTGTCCCCCACCAAATCCTAACCCCTAGTACGTCAGAACGGGGCCTTATTTGAAAAGAGGGTCTTTAGGGATGTAGTTGGTTAGGACGAGGTCATCGGGGTGGCCCTCAACCCCACACAATGTCCTAAGGGGAGAGCGGGACACCGACCACACGCAGGGAAGCACGGAAATGTGACAGAGCTGGGGGGATGCAGAGAAGCCTGTCCCCAGGGGCGCCAAGGACCACCAGCCGGGGCCAGCACCTGCGGCCTCGGGAGGAAGCAGGCCCGCCGGTGCCTGGGTCTCGGACTCCAGCCTCCAGATCCAGATTCAGGAAGAGACGGGTTCCTGGGGTTGATGCACCGGCCGGTGCAGGGTCCCGGCGGCCCCGGGGCGGCACGTGCTGCAGGTGGCTGTTTGGAGGACAGAAGTGCAAGTGCTCTCGCTGCCTGGAGCTGCCGCCGGGCCCCCCTCGGTCCCTGCAGCCCCTCCCCCGGCACCCCTGCGTGATGCAGGCCTCCTGCCAGTGGGCAGATCGGCCGTGGGGGCCGCGCTCCCTGCTCCCAGAAGGGCTCGTATATAGACCTGCACAGTGCCCTTGGGTTCGATTAAACCTGCAGGGGGCTGCCTGGGGAACGTAACCCATGTCCTAGCCCCCAAGTCACCCACCCGTGCTATTCGTCCCATCCGCGGCATAGGGGTGTCCCCATGTCACCACGCGGGCACGGGCTCTGGCCTGCAAGTCACCCAGTGGAAAGCCAGAGAGGGGCAGCTCCCTGGTCCCGGCCCGTGCCGCTGGGCTTCAGGGCCCTTGGTGGTGGACAGACATGTTCCAGCAACAGCACAGGTGACCCCTGAGGAGGGGAGCGTCGGGCAGGCTTCTGACCATCTGGGATGGCAGGACACCTCTGCAAAAGGCAAGGAGGGAAGACGAGGATGGCTGAGAGCCTGGCCACCAGGGGCATCCGTGGCCGGCCCGTCTGCACGAGCCGCTGGGTCTGGAGCCCGGAGCTCGCTCGGAAAGCCTCCCACTCTGCCTCGATGCCAAGAGCAGGACTCCTGTCTCCCCCGACAGCCGCGGACAGATGCCCGTGGGCCATGCGAGGTCAGGAGGAACGGGTGCCCAGATGTGGGCTCAGGAGGTGTGCGCCCACCCTCCCCGTCCCCCCCTCCAGCGTGCTGCACACCTGCCAGGTGGTGCCCGGGCGAGCGGCATTTCCTGGAGAAACAAGAAGGCTCGCCCTCGCTCAGCTTAGACTCTTGCAAAAACGAGGATCCGGAGCGGAAAAGTCTCGGCCAGCTGGAGTGACCCCGAGGGAAATGAGGTGGGGCCTGGCCTACAGGACAGAAGCCGCCAGTCTCTGAAGCAGACCCTTCTGGGCAGGCCCCCCCCGGCTGACAGTGGCCCAGCGCTCGTGCTGCGACACCCCGGGTGCCAGACCTCCCAGCTAGGGAAGGGACCTGTCACTCTGGGTGGCCAGTGTCCCTACGTACGTCTTCGTGGCTGGCCAGGAGGAGTGAGCAAGGGTCAATCAGCAAACCTCCCCAAGGACACCCCTTGTGCAGTGCCCAACCCCAGCTCCAGCACCTAAGAACCCCTCCCCACCTGACTGGCATTGGCTTCCTCCTCAACACACACACCCGGGATCCCTGGTGGCCAGTGTCCCCTCTGGCATCACAGGAGGCCTGCTGCTAAGGCCCCTCCCTGCCATGCCCTCAGGGGTGCCCTTCTCTCCTCGGCCCACTCCACAGGGGCAGCGGCCAAGACCATGACCAGGAAGGCAGACTCTCTTCACAGAGGGTGAGGGCAGAGCCGGCTGTAGCCCGGTCGCAGGCCTTTCGGGGTCCGAGACCAACTCCCTCCCCTGTCACTTCAGGCCGGAGGCCCAGGACCTGGACAGCGGCTCCCAATGCCCGGGCCTGGCCAGCGGGAAGCCTGAGGACGCGGAGGAGGAGGAGGAGGAGGAGGAGGAGGACGACGATGACAGTCTGGCGGGGAAGTCCCAGGGTGACCCCGTGTCCCCCACGCCGGAGCCCCAGGGCGCCTACGAGGACGAGGAGGATGAGGAGCCGCCCACCTCCCTGGCCGTGGGCTTCGAGCACACACGAAGGTGGGGACCGGCCCTCCGTGGGGGCGGGGCCTGGGCAGCCTCACAGGCTGGCGCCCCAGCGTCATAAGGGCGGCCTCACCCTCAAACCACCCAGGACCCCACCATCCCCCACATGCGCTCAACCCCATTCCCAGCAGGCATCTCCACCGTGGGAGGGGGGCCCCCTGCTCGCAGGCCCAGGTGAGCCCCGGCCTGAGGAAGGGGGTCAGGGCCCAGCCCACCTCCCAGAGGCTCCCTCACTAGCCGAGGCCTGGAGGCAGAGTGTGGGAGGGAGAGGCGGGAGCTGCAAGGGAGCGGGTCCGGCCGCCCCACTGTCTCTGGTGGTGGGCCCGGGCAGTGACGTCCGGCCCCGAGCCGGGCTGTGCAGAGCAGGGGCTGAGCACAGCTTGGATGCAGCCAGCTGGGGCCCTTCCCCGCACGGCCCGACTGCCTGCCCCCCCAGCCTACATCTGGCACCGGGGGTGCCCCTGCGTTCCAGACCCTCCTGGGGAGAGCCCTGCAGGTCCAGGAGGCCTGAGCTCCAGGGAGGCCAATCACCCCTGGCCCCGGGTTCCTGGGAGTCCTGGCCCCTCCGGAGCTGCCTCCAGACCCGTCCTCCGCTCCCTGAGACCTGGGCGCCCCGCCTGCTGCCTGCGACGTGTGTGCACGCACTCACCACCCTCCACGCCCTCTGTCCGTCCCCCTCTTGCATCCATGTGGCTTCCGTCCAGGTGTCCGTGTGTCTGTGTGTCCGTGTCCTTGTGCATGTGGCTCGTGGAGAGGCCGGGGCGTGCATGCCGGCACGGAGCCCGCCGTGGGGCGTCAGAGGCCCGACCGGCTGACGCCAGGCCCCTCTCCCCGGTCATTGGCGCAGGTGTGCTCAGGAGCGGCCGGGCGGTCTGTTGGCTTTGGAGCCGATGCCGACTTTTGGGAAGGGGCTGGACCTCCGCAGAGCAGCTGAGGAAGCATTTGAAGTTAAAGATGTGCTTAATGCCACACTAGGTTCTGAGGCCCTAAAGCAGACACTGTACAGGCAGGCTAAGAACCAGGTAGGTACCTAGCAGAGCCCCCTGCCCCGGCACCCCCAGGCTGGAGGTGGCCGGTGCCTGGGGCACAGCAGGACCACGGTCCCCGGGCCCATTGCATCAGCTAGAGAGACACCCAAGTGACCACTACTTCCCCGCAAGCAGGGGTGGGGCAGGGAGAGACTGAGACCAGCGAATGTGAGCTGTGTGCTCACAGGGGCGTGGGGCACTGTGCTCTCGTCCCCCGTGGCAGGCGTCCACGGGCAGCTGCCCAGCCTGGAAGCTGTGTGGTCCTCCCTCCCTCTCTGATTCGAGCAAGCCTGGCAATGGCCCAGGCTTCTCTTAAAGGCAGCTGTCCTCACGCGGTCACTAATTCCCACCTGGAACTGTGACAGGGTCAGCGAGAGCACCCAGGCGGGCCTCAACCCCGTTCCTTAGTGCAAGTGGCCACAGGGCCCTGCTTCCGGCTTCCATCCATCTGGAGGGGCAGGGTCTCAGGTCAGCCCACCCAAGTCTCAGCGAAATTCGTCTGCGTGTCTGTCTTTGTCTTTTACTAATCCTGTCCCCAAGTGTAAGCCTGGGGGGGAGGAGGGTTGGCCTTTCCCCCATCCCGCTCTGCTCTGAGTGGAGCCCCAGGTCCCGTGGCCTCGTGCCCTGTGGCTCCACGGAGTAGCCGTGCTCCCTCCTCTGGGCTCAGCTCAGACGGGCCAGGCATCTGCTTCCCCGGGTAGCCTTGTGCTGTCCCCACAGCTGTCCAGACGGGCAGCCCCCAGGCCCACCAGACAGGGACGGCCTCTTACAGATGACCAGGATTCCTAGGGCCCTCGCAAAAGTGGGGGAGGGGCAGAGAGGTGAATGCAGGGGAAGCAGCAGGGGAGACCCCGTGCATGGAGGCCAGGGCCACGGCACCTCGTCCCTCTGCACGGGAGCCCAGCTGACCTGCGCACAGCCCCCAGCCCCAGCACCTACCACATCTTCCTCTTCTGGGCCCTAGGGGAGACTCTGACCTTTCCCCTCCCAGTCTGGATCTGGGCAAGACTGAGCCCAGCCTGAGGCAGTGGGGGGCCAGGAAGGGCCAGCCTGGGATCTCAGAACCCCAGCTCACCTGTCTGTCCTGTGTGTGTGTGTGTGTGTGTGTGTGTGTGTGTGTCTTCTCCCCGGCCAGGCGTATGCAATGATGCTGTCCCTTTCCGAGGACGCTCCTCTCCACACCTCCTCCCAGAGCCCTCTGGATGCTTGGTTGAACATCACAGGAGCCACGCCGGAGTCTGGAGCCTTTAACCCCATCAACCACCTCTGACGGGCCCAGGAGGGGCCAGGGTCAGAGTCCAAGAAGGGCGACCTCAGGGCCCCATCGTCCCCACAGACATCCCAGCTGTGGAAAATGGAGAAGGGAGCCTCGGGGAGCGGCGTGACCTGGGCCAGAGAGACCTCCCTCCCCATCACCCGCGTCGACCAGTCCTCAGCGTCCATCCCCGCTACACACACCATGGCTCAGCTCTAACTTTTCCAATGAAAACTCAGAACCCAGGAGTCCCTGAGCCGTCCTGGAGGCCCACCGTCCAAGAATTGGTCTTAAGAACAGCGTTCCGGAAGGGTACAGCGCAAGGCCGGCCTGGCAGCGGCCTCGCAGGACCGACCCCGTGGGTGAGGGCAGGGTTTGAACCCCAGACTCAATGAAGGCAGCGGCCCCTAGGGCACCCGCGGGTGTCTCAGGAAGGACCAGACAGATGCGGGTGTGCTCTTCAAAGGGAGATCGCCCAGACGATTTTTTTATAATGAGAATTACAGGAGTAACCCTTTTGGTAATCTTATTGACGACAGAGTCTATTTAAGCATGTGGTTTTAAAATAGACAGTATTTTTAAAAAAAGAAATCGAAAGATGACTTGCAAATTGTTTTTTAAAAGTAATTTTGCATTGCTTTGAAATCTCTGCGTCTTTGCAAACCCGAACCTGCCCAGAAACTGTACTGTGTCCGGGCGTGTTCTTTATACTGTAGATAACGGAGACGTTTTCTATCCCAGACCATATTTGTAAAGCCAACGGGATCCTGGGTGTCCCCGCGCAGAACGGCGGGGCCTGGGGCCCCCGCCTGTGAGCAGTTTCAAACTGTCCGGTGGAATTCTTAGACACGGTGTCCTGGGCTGGCCCAAGGCTGCGAGAGAGGCCTGTCGCCCGTGTCCCACGTGTGCGGCATGGGATTCATGCTTGTGGCCCCCGCCAAGACCCCCCAATTTTATGGGGGAGGTGTGAGAGCGCTGGCTTGGGTCCCCCGAGCAGAGGTGGCCCGGGCTCCCGATGCTTCTCCCGGCAGGGTCTGCACATCAGCCATACCCGTGCGGCCCCCCACGGCCGCTTCGGGTCTCCAGCCCCCCCCCTCACCCACCCCCGTCAGACGGACAAGGGGAAGGAAGCGGGCATCCCCCTCCAACCCGTGGCCTCCCTGGCGTGTGCACTGCGGCTCCCCTACCCCAGGCTGCCGGGCTGTCTGCCTGTGTGAGACCCCGGCTCCGGGACACAAGGGCCACCTCCACTCCTTGGCAGGCCAGACCAGCTCCAGACCGCAGGGCCCGGCCAGACGGCACCTGCTCAGGCCGGGTCTGCCTCTCCGCGCAGATGGGCTTTAAATTATTCCCATAGGGGCCAATTTCAAATCATAATTTCTTTTTCCCTGATGGAATTTACCTTAATCTGTATATAACTTGTAATTTTTTCTAATTCATTTCTTTTCTTATTTTATTTCTTCCTTAACAGTATTTTGGCATTAGACATTCTTATTGTGAAGAAATGATGTTAATATAAGTATCTAGTGAGGGACCAAAACCGTGTATAAGGTCGTGTGTCGTGTGATCAAGAACCAGGGAGTGGGGAGGTTTTTACTGTGCCAAATACCCCCGCGCCCCCGACGGATCCTGCTGCCCGTTTCCAGACAATCACGTGTTTTTGTTAAATTAGAGTTTCAGTTACATTCACATTTAAGACAAGTGTTCTATTTATTTCTTTTATCGTTTGGAAGGAAAAAGAAGAATGTCCCAACAGGAAGAGAAAAAGATCATCCAAGTTGCCCTTAAAAAAGGATGTAGATATGCAAGTGGTAGGGGCGCGGGGCGCCGGGGACGGGGCTCGGACGGTGCGCGAGCCCTGGGCGCTGGCCCCGGGGCGGCAGCCCAGTCGGAGCCGCTGTGTGCCCGGGCCCGGCCGCTCCAGGCCCGCGACAATCGTGTGCTTCCGCGCTGGGAGGCCTGTGTGGGGAGTCCCAGAGGCCGCCACATGGCCGCAGGCCCCGGGGGAAGGGGTCCACCTGCTCCCGGCCCACGGGAGGCGGCGAGACCGTGCCCGCAGGCCGGCGGGGTGCCCTGCGAGAGGAAGGGCGGACGCAGCCCCCCGGGGCGCGGCTCGGCAAACACGCCCCCCCGCCCCAAGCATCACCTCTGCCTGGCTCGCCAGGCGCCGTGTGGGATTTCCACTTCCCCTCTCTCCAGGTGTGACCCCTTTGCAGAGTCAACCTCAGATACAAATGCCCATTTCTGTAAACCCAAATTATATTTCTTCTGCTAAAGAGTAAGGCGTGTGCTTTTTTTTGCGATATGACTGTCTCTGCCTGAAATAGGAACTCTGGTCGGGTAGAAACCTGAGTGTCTGTTCTCCACGGTCCCAGATCCGAGACGGGCCGTGGCCACCCACTCTGGTCTGCTCTGCAGGCTCTGGCCATCCGTCACATGTGGCCAGCCGTGGCCACATCTTCTCTCTCCCTCCTTCCCAGAGCCCCACCTGCTCCTCTCCAGCCCTTAATCTTGTCCTCCCGGAAACGATGGGAGTCAGCCCCGTTTCTCCTAAACGTTCAATCCCTTGGGCCCCAGCACTCAGCAGATTTGGGGAGGTCTGTCCTTGGACCCCTGACAAAGGGAGCACTTCGTCCCTACCCTGGTGCCTCTCCCTGCCCCCGACGACAGCGAGCCACCCTCCCTACTCTTCTCTGTCCCCGGGCTGCCGCACCAGCCTGGACCGTGGGGGCCAGGGGGCTGGGCGGCCAGAATTCTGAGACCCCAGTCTCGGAGCTTGGGTGCAACAGGGCTACAGGCCGGCTGACCCCTATGTGCATGGGTGGTGGCCGGGGTTAGACCTGTCAACCTGGGGACCCCCTGGGCCAGGGTCCTTCTGTCTGGCATCAACGGTGCTCCTCCTTTGGACCTTTGACCTCCCCAATGGAAACTCAAAAGGAAGGCTCCCAGCTCTCCCCTCCACTGCCCCTCAAAGCCCGGCCCCCAGCAGACTGACACCATCCCCCACGCTGCTCTCATTCCTGGGACAACTGGGTAGGACGCACGGAGCTGCCGACCTTTGGCCAGCCAGACCCTCCGTGAGTGGGACCCAGAGATTCCCCTGTTTTGAATCGAGGGGTGCGTGCTCCTCCAGCTGGCCTGGGACCCTGAGTGTGGATCAGTGGACAGGCTGAGCCCACGTGACCTTCCTGTTGAAGCCCAGCACCTCCGTGGCCCAAGACTGACCCCAGAAACTCGCAGGCCCTCGGCCTCCCCTGTCCTAGCTGCTGCTTCACTGAGCGCCCGCCCGGACACATGTCACCGTCGGCAGCCTTGCAGCCTCAAAGCACTGGATTGTGGCCCCCAGGCCCCCTGCCCTGATCCCCTGCCCCTCAGCCCCCTCCCCCTGCCCACGTGACTGAGATCTACTGAGCTGTATTCACTGTGTTGTCCTGGGGGAGGGGCGAGGACGCAGCGCCACCCAGGAGAGCCGGGCACCTTGCGTCCCTCCCAGCTGGGGTCGCGAGGCCGCGGCCGCTCCTGGTCGGTGGAGGTCAGCCGGGTTTCAGAAGCCATGAACCTTCCCCGCAGCAGCGAGCGATACTGTGACAAGACGTTTCTGCGTGATTGCAGGAGCGCCCCTCTCCTCCTCGTGTTCCGGGCCGTTCCGTTCTTCCTTTCCGCCGCCGATTCGGAACGCCGCTTTTGGAAAAAATAAAATAAAAACAAAAGGCAGCTTGAGTTTTCCAAATGTGCAATTCACTTGTGAGCAACATGATTCCGGAGGTTTCTATCGGTGTGTCTTATATAGTGGACACTCCCGCCGCGAGGGAGGCCGAGCCCCGTGTCGCAGCGCGTCACGTGTCCACCTGCCGGCAAGAGCTCCACACCTGTGTGGCCGCGTCGCCCTCTTGCCGCTGTTGCAGGACAGACTTGGTTCAGTTTGTTTTCATTGTTTGGGTTTGTTTTGGTTTTGTTTTTGTTTTTGTTTTAGAACTGTATAGTGTTGAAAAAGAAATCAAATGTAAATGTCAGGTTTTCATATAATGTTTAAAAAAAAAAAACCATTGAGAAGGAGGCCGGTGTATGTCCCACGTCCCCCAATTGTAAATTGCTTCTGTTCTAAGTAAACTGTGCATGACTCGTGTTTAGCGGTCATTATCGTGTCTGTTTGTGAAATTTTTATGAAAAGGAAAATTCAGTAGAGGCACCTGTCAAATATGTGACTAGGGTCTACGCCTTCCAGACAAGGAGCTCAGAGCTGCTCTGGGAACAAGCGCGGCCCGTGAGCGACGTGGGCACCGCTGAAGGGAAGGACAAGGGCGAGCTGCCCAGGGTAGGCCGTCACCCACGTGACTCCACAGACTGCTTTGACGCCCGTGATAAAGACAGACGTGCCTGTGCAGAGAAGCTCTGTAAGATGAAGCCTGGGGCAGCTGATCGGAGGCGAGCGCCGTAGGGTGGGACTGTACACCAAATGTAATCTTTCCGATGCGACAATGAGTTTATACATGAGATCGGTATGCAATAAATCTGTGTGCTTTTCTACGTCTCGCCCCCACTCCGAGCGTCACTGAGGGAGAATGGAGGCCCCCCGGGGCCGGGGGAAGGGCCTGGGCTCAGAGCGTGGCCAGCAGTGAGGCTCGGCAGCGTGGGTCGAGGGTCCCCAGGAACAGGCTGTGAGACGTGCCTAGCCATCACCCCAAAACTGCCCCAGGCCAGGGACCCTTGCTGTCCACGTTGTCCAGAATACACAAGCTCAGCGAAAGCACGCACGACCCTGGCCGGCTCTGCAGTGAGCATGAGCCCCAGGCGTGCTCCCCGAAGTGCATCCGCCCAGCACATCGGCCTCCGGGGGTGTCCTCCAGGTGGCCCCTTTTTCAGGAATGTCGCCTCCAGGTGCACCTGGGCCCAGAGCCAGCCCCCATGAACTCCTGCCCGGGACCTCTTTGCGGTGCAGGACCCCACCTTGCAAGGCCGATCCCAAACGCGCCCCTTCGTAAGGGTGGACCCCCCCGCCGGCCAGCCCTCCTCAG